TCACAGCTTTTTATCTACATGGAGACCAAGCCAGACCCAGTTACAGGTCAGATCTGTGGATAGGCGACTCCACTTACACTCAGAATGCCTGCTTTTCTAGATATTTTTGAACTATAAAACCACCTGTAACTGAATAAATGTAGGTTAGAGCTGTTTAATGTCACACTCTGGAACATTCCAAGCAGAGTAATGATACAGTATATCTACAGAAACAAGCAAGTGACGAACCCTCCACCAGAAAAGTTACACAATGCACATTTAAAACAAAAATCGGATGTTTTTACCTTCTATTTCCCGAGAGATGTCAATCAGTCTGCTCTTTTAAAATATTTAGACAACACCATTAGGATCATAAACAGCTAGAGGCAGATTTGCATGTTCTTCAAAATTGTATTAGCAAATGTGTTGTTTTTCGGATTTACATAATGACCTTTTGTTTTGCATTTCACCGCAGACGGGCTCGTATCGACAGCTCCACAAATATTCAGAATCTCCATCCTCCCGCAAGACTTTTGACATCCCCCATTATATTTTTTTCTATTGTGTCAAAGTGCCCGCGGTGGTACGTGTCCAGTTTATCTGCAGAAACATCTTGCAACAAAACAATATAACAGTTAGTCTCTCACAGTTTGTGTATTTATTCAGATCTGAGTGTTAATGTTATTAAAATACACCCGAACTAATGCACCAGATGTGTTTCTTTTAATAGTAGGTTGTAAAATCCGATTGCACTGCATTATTCATTCGCCCTCCTTCACTTCGCTCGTGTTATTTATGAATGGAAATAAGTTTTGCTTTTTTCTATTAGTCGAGTCTTTCTTGTTTGAGTGTTAATGAGCTGATGTTCTTTTATATTTCTTGAAGTGAGCTGGTTTGTGTCGCCATTCTTAATAAGCTGCTGCCATCTTGTGGACATTTTGTTCCTCTATTATAAACTTAGAATCTGTTTGCTTCAAGACAAGACACAAACAAAAAATAAAATGTTTGCTTATACAGGTGAACAAAAAAGAGTACACTAGGTCAGGGGTGGGCAAACTAAGGCCCAGGAGCCATATACGGCCTTTTAATCTTTTTAATCCGGCCCTCCGCACTTGAATAATAATAACGATGATAATTTTCAGTGTTTTAAAAGTCATTTCAATAAATAGTAAATACTGTGGGACATGAAAAAATGATTTTTGTTCTAATGCTTTGTAATGATTTACAATTATGGGACATTTCAATAACATCGGATATTTTTTTCTCTCTTGTGAGGTGGATTACCAAAAAACTCCATCCACCTGCTCCTGGTCCGTAGCCTGATTCATCAACCGGTTTCACTTCGTAGAAACCCTCTGACCTAGCAGCGTTAGGATTCGATCGCTCGACGGTAGGTGGGTACTTTTTATCATTTAACCAATCGCTGCTATTTGGTCGTGTCATATGTAATGCGCCAAATCCCGTAGGAAGAAGTAACAATAACATCTTTCCCCTTGATATTCACCGTAACATTCTCTTTGTTCCAGCTTTATATCATTGATCTTGTTCCGGCTTTAAATCCTCGATCTCCGGAATCGTTACCAACACTGAAAGTATGGCTCTTCGTTGACTGGCTGGTGTCTGGACTCTCACTTCCGGGGTTTTTGCGAAACATCTACTGTATTCTGATTCCTGACCTAGCCGCTGGAGAGAAATGAAATTGAGTGGAGGCACTATGTGGCGCCAGCCCGGCTACCTGGTCCGACCCTTCTGTCAAATTTTAGAACCCTTTGTGGCCCACGAGTCAAAAGGTTTGCCCACCTCTACACTAGGTGGTTTGTCTAAATCCCTTTTCTGACCTCTATCAAAGACTTTCTGCAGTGTGCGCAGCAGTGGGCTTTTTGTTCTTTTCATTATTGTATACATACAGTCTCTGGCCTGTAAATTCAAATAAAGGACAAACACGCCATAAGCATTTATAGATCTAATGGAATAGGCCGATCATATTATCAGATGTTTAAGTGGCCTATCCACATGATATAGTCATACTGTTAGGATAAATAACTAGGCTTAGCTATTTTGTATAATCGCTTGTATAGTTCATTATTGTACCGAGGTCATTTGAAGATAACAGCCATGAGACTCATACATACATGTCAAGACAAATGCATGATATTCCAATGTATCTAATAGCAAACTGATTAAATATGACAAGAACTGCTGATAGGGATGATGTCAGGACTTGTTAGACAGATAACACCCCAGATGGAGTCTGATTGGACTGTGCGACGTGCCAAGAGGCCTGGCTGACCCATGCACCAACGAAGAGGCAATAAGTCTAAACCACGGTCGCCTCCCTCTGTAGTTTGTGTATAAAAGTCATTGTATAGGCATAAACACTGAGTCTCTGCACAGGAATGTCGGCACAGACTCCTTGTACAAGTATGGCTTTCTAATAGTAGAATAAGTAAATCATCTGGACTTTATTATTTCTGTTTCAAGTGTTTTTTGTTTGTTTTTTTTAATCTAAGCAGAAACGAACACGAGAGGAAAAGGTTGTTTTACTACATGGTTGCTGCAGCAGGTCACACAGACTCACTGATCTTCTTCTAGAGGTTGTGATGATTGTCGTCTCAGATCCAGGACAGGCCCAGGGTCAATCTTATGTCGAGCAAATGGGACTTTTAAAAAAACACATTTTCATGAGTCATGGACACTTGCACCTTTGGTAGGATATTACACATTACTTAAGAACTATGTAGTGTTTGACCCTCTAAACACAATTTTGTGAAAAATACAGTACTACATTCATACCATACTCCCTACAACTGTACCACAACTCACCCTTATGTAACAGATAATACTCCCTACAACTGTACCACAACTCACCCTTATGTAACAGATAATACTCCCTACAACTGTACCACAACTCACCCTTATGTAACAGATAATACTCCCTACAACTGTACCACAACTCACCCTTATGTAACAGATAATACTCCCTACAACTGTACCACAACTCACCCTTATGTAACAGATAATACTCCCTACAACTGTACAACAACTCACCTTTATGTAACAGTGTAACAAATAATACTCCATACAACTGTACAACTCACCCTTATGTAACAGATAATACTCCCTACAACTGTACCACAACTCACCCTTATGTAACAGATAATACTCCCTACAACTGTACAACTCACCCTTATGTAACAGATAATACTCCCTACAACTGTACAACAACTCACCTTTATGTAACAGTGTAATAAATAATACTCCCTACAACTGTACCACAACTCACCCTTATGTAACAGATAATACTCCCTACAATTGTACAACAACTCACCTTTATGTAACGGTGTAACAAATAATACTCCATACAACTGTACAACTCACCCTTATGTAACAGATAATACTCCCTACAATTGTACAACAACACACCCTTATGTAACAGATAACATTATGTCCTGTCAATCATCATATCATTGTTGCACTCTCTTCCTTAACAACCTCTTTTATATAGCTGGGATTTTATATTTTATTAATCATTTTTCTATTTATTTTGACTTGTACATTTACTTTTATATAATTATGTTTTATTTCAAACCTGTCTCTTGCTATCTTTTTGCTACTTATTTATAAGTTATTATTACCACTTATATATTTTTTACTCTTTGTTATTATATTATATCATATTATATCATACCATATTATGTGATGTGTGAGCAACTGTGTCCAAATAATCTCCCTTGTAGATCAATAACGTTTGTTTAAGTCTAAGTCCAGTTGTTTTTCTATAACAGTGACAATAAAATCTTAAATGAATGAATGAATGAATGGGTGATACTAGGTGTAAAAATGTTAATAGAATTTTAACATCAGCATTTTATCGGTTTCTTATATAGTTATAGTTACAAACCCGATATAGTAGTATTTGAAGATCAGTAGATTTGCATCCACCTTCACCCAATTATGGCCCTGTTTTCTGATGTATATTCCGTCGTTCAGAATAGATTTCGGAAAGTAGCTTCACTTTCACGGAAATATGTCCATAAATTGTGTGTCAAAATTCTGCCGTGACCCGGATTCGAACCGGGGTTGCTGCGGCCACAACGCAGAGTACTAACCACTATACGATCACGGCGAGCTACCCTGGGGCGTGAATGTGCGTGAGATCAAATGACACAAATGTACGCTAAAGTCATATAAATACGGTCTCTGGCATGGACTGATGAGGTCTGACAAACAGATCATACAGAATGGTGCGGCGCAGGAATCCAGACAGCGTGGAAAGCGTATCGAGACGAGGTTCTAACTGAACATTTTTGGGAATAAATGTGGACGCACTTATTTAGTGGGCTGCTGTAAGTTTAACTATTCATATTATAATTGCGAATTTGGGGGTAAGAGAGGTCCGAGTACCATTCGTTCTGTTGAATTTCAATGAAGAACAAAAAGTAAAATGGGAAAATAGTTTGTGATTTCATTATGCCGCTTTAGTGTCCAAAAAAAATAAATAAATAAATAATAATAATAAAAGCAAAAAAAAATAAATAAAAATAAATAAATAAATACAAAATTTAAAAAAAATCTCTTTGGTTTATATGCCTCGGAAGTTATGCTGCTAGAAGAGAATAAAATATCAAAACTGAAATATGATGTGTGGCACGATAACTGTTTTTTAAATTTTTACTTATTTGTTTTTTGACACTAAAACGGAATAATGCAATAACATTTTACCCATTTTATTTTTTTTCGTTCTTAATTGAAATTCAAAAGTACGAATGGTTCATGGATCCAAAAGAAGACAATTTAATGTTGTTTCCCCTTTTAGAAAATATAAATAAAGCGAGCGTCACCTGTCTTGTAACGATCATATTCAGGGAGGGGCTTGTGAGGCAGTTTAAACCGGATTCAGCCTGCGATTGGCTGTTTTCGCTGTATTCATACGGATTGTGCTCATACTGCTCTGTGATTGGTCAGCGCGTGTCTAACGTCTCTTCTGATTGGCTGTCTGTTCACCTCGGTTCAATTTCAAACTGGCTTCACACTCATACAACATCGTGATGAAGGAAATCATGCTTTCTCCTGCACGCTAGCTACGGACTTTACGGATTTTAACGTTTTTTATCTCATCGAAATGATCTTGCGTTTATCCTAGCCGTTCATGATGACCACCACGACCGGGAAAGGATTTTGGGACATTAGCCCGATACGAAAAGACGAAGCGGATAAAGAAAACGATACTCCTGTTTTGAACCTGATACAATTTTCCAAGGCTCCTTTTGTGAGTTTTGGGGCAGTGAAGCTCGGGACGTCCAAATCTGCAGTTTTACGCATTGAAAACCCAAATGAAGATGTCGAAGCGGAGGTGGTAGTTGAGAAAAAATAGCATCAAGTAAAGGGTTTTCTGTGGATCATAACAGGTTTACTATAGAGGTAAGTTGCAAGAAGCTCAGTAGTTTACCAGGATCGTTACCTACGGCTAAAATTCTATTCAAATAATGTGTAAAGTTGTCCTGCTTAGTGTTAATCCTCGTTGTTTTAATGTTATTCCTTGCAGAACTTTTAGATGTGCATTGTGTAACTTTTCTAGTGAAGGATCTGACAACTTGTGGGTATTTTTGAGCTATTAAACCACCTGTAACTGAATAAATGGAACATAGAGCTGTTTAATGTCATACTGTGGAACTTTCCTAGCAGAGCAATGACATATCCATAGAAACAAGCAGGTGAAGGACCCTCAACCAAAAAGTTACACAATTAAAAATCAAGTTATAATGTTGCTGCTGTCCTTATACACACGCCTTTATTGTCTCACTATTAATGCACCTTTTTAGTCTTTCACATAATAATATATATTGTTGTTTACACCACTGTAAGTTCTTCCTAAATTTGCAGTTCAAATGTGATGAGAGATCCAATGCACAATAAAAATTCTGTTATTTGTAATCTGATGACTGAATACTGGGCGTTACCATTTCCCCACAGACTTTGCACAAATGATTTTCATGTGAATAACTGAATCTCATAAATTGTGCAGTTTAAATGCTGCTTATTGCCTATATTTAATCTTTAAAAAGTCTTTTTCTACTTACTTTTAAATGCTTGTGATGATACCATGGGCAGCAAAGTGTGTTCATAGTAAAGCTTGTTTTTCAGAGTCAGTAAGTTCTATTTCTATTGTCAGCAAACACAATTTAGGAATTTGCTTTGGTGATATGGTGTAACAAATGCTAATAATAAGTATTAGGGCTGTAACAAGTATCAAAAATCAGATACTAATCGATACTAAAACTCTTAAACTAAATACTCCTTTGAGCAGGTATCGATACTAAAAAGCATAGGACAGAAATTTATTATTTTCTTGAATAGCTTTAGGATGATATTGAGCTGTATCAGAACAATTATAAGTGCACATAGACTAGTATACGCCCATGGACCACTATGGAAAGTACCTGGACCACTGAGGGATTACAGAGATATAAATTCAGATGGGAATATAAAAGACAGTACGATGATTTAATGTTGAAAATCACTTTATTTCAAATCAAGTTTAGCATCATGACAACACCAGTAAATATAATCTATTGTAAAATAAAATGAAGGCTTGCAACAATAAGGTGTTGGATAAAAATGAGCTTAATGACTGAGTATAGAATATAGGAATGTACCATAATCCCCTCTTTAAATGAGAAACACTGTACTAAATAAATAATACATTCTGTTTATTTTTCAGGGTGACGGATCGTTCACTTTGACTATAACATGGACTCCAGTTGAAGAGGGTGGCGTTCGGGAGCTCATTATATTCAATGCCAATGGAGTCGTCAAACATCAGGCGGTGCTGCTGGGGCGAGCAGAGGCACCCAAGAAGAAAAAGGTAGAACAAACGATGAAATTTCCATAGAAGCTGTTTCAAATATCATAACCTGTTTATTATATTTTAGTTTGATAAACATTTTCTTACTTTTCATTTTAACCAATGAATCAAAAAAATTGCAGCTTAACATGTACACTCTGTGTATAAATGCGTTGTTTGCTGGGGTTTTTTTTCTGCATAAATTGATGTCTTTTGACTTTTGAGCACAGTTTGCAGTATCTAGGTCAGATACATTGGTAACGTCATTGTCCTGAGAGCTTTTACCTCACCCCCTTTTTAGACATGTCTTTAGTCGACCAAGAATTTCTTTCTTTAATTTTTATCATTTATTTATTTTACTGGAATACCCCCTGAGATGTGCCATCTTGTTTTCAAGAGGGTCCAACAACACAGAGCATTAGTAATGCATAATACAATAAACAGAATACAAAGCTTACAGGTTTAGATTATAAAACATGCACAGACCCACGCAGCCAGACCCACGCAGACAGACCCACGCAGACAGACCCACGCAGACAGACCCACGCAGACAGACCCACGCAGACAGACCCACGCAGACAGACCCACGCAGACCAGACCCACGCAGCCAGACCCACGCAGCCAGACCCACGCAGCCAGACCCACGCAGACCACGACCCACGCAGACAGACCCACGCAGACAGACCCACGCAGACAGACCCACGCAGACAGACCCACGCAGACAGACCCACGCAGACAGACCCAGACAGACTCATGCCCTCCTCCCAACTCTTGCAGCAGTACATCCATCCATTTTCTTCCGCTTATCCGGGGTTGGGTCAAAGGGGCAGCAGTCTAAACAGGGACTCCCAGACTTCCTTCACCCTGGACATTTGCTCCAGCTCCTCCAAAGGAAAGGAACCCCAAGGCGTTACCAGGCCAACCATACAGGACATAGTCCCTCCAGAGTGTCCTGGGTCTTTCCCAGGGCCTCTTCCCGGCAACAGTACCTGAATTCAAAAAATTTAAATACACATTATATAACAATGATATAAACAAATAGAAAAATAATAATAGAACAAACTGAAAATTAAAAATACAAACTAAAAATATAAACAAGGAGTTTTGAGGTATGAAAACAAAGATGACTAAAATGAATTGAAATATGTTAGTTGCATGTATGTATATGTAAGTTCTTAAGGGTGTGGGTGTCTATTCCAGTCTGAAGAGGCCTTGTACTGAAATGATCTGTGCCCCAACTTTGTAGATTTGGGGAACAAAAAAAGTGAGGCATTGGGTGCTTCTGTGTGAATATGACGGTCTTACTGGGACTAATTATTGATGTAGATAATGGGGACAGTTAAATTTACATTGCATTACATTTAAAAATTAAATGACTTCTATTATATGGTTCTAGCCAGCTTTGAGTTTTTGAAATAACTAGGGCAGTTGTGGACGGTATTTTGTCAGTCAAGTATTGATCTACCTTTTCTTTGTTTCCAGAAAACTCTTTGGGATTCTATCAAGAACAAACCCGCGATGGGGAAAGTGTCTGGTCCCAGGATGAAGAGGGCGGAGCCAGCCTTAAAGATGTCTGCTAACAAGACCTTCCAAGTGTCCAGGAAGCAGCAGTACAAAAGGGACAAACCTCGCAGCCCGCTGGCGTCTCTCAACCAGGAGAAGCCCAAAAGAGAGCGCTCCCTATCTCAAAAAAGCCCAAATGAAAAAAAAACGCACTTTTTGGTTGGAACTGCCCAGGATGACGTCTATAACATGCAAGAAAATTCACCTTTTGTTTGTATGGTACCGGAAATGCCAATTAAAAAAAGGAACAGCCAGGATTTTTTGAACTTGCCTCAAAATAAGGACCTCACGAAAATACTAAACAAAACGCTTTCACCCATCGGCACGCCAGACAGGTTGAAAAAACTGATGCCACGAATAGACCCAGTAGAAAGTCCACTGTTGAGAGCACCTGTTACGGAAAAAGCACTGAATAATACACCGACTCTGTCCATAAAGGAAGCACTTGCCCTTATAGACTCAGATTTAAGCCCTATCAACAGCTCACCCCAAAGCAGCTGCGAATTCTCAGATTCACTGGAGTTGAAAAGCGGAAAATTTGAGACTAAAATAAACCCACAAACTCCGGAAATCAACGAACCCAGGCTGACTTTCTTTGTTAGCAAAAAGGTAGTCGTGCAAGATCTGAAAATGTTCACTTCCACAACGGTGACCAAATCCAAGGCGCCAGTTGAGGAGAATCCTGTGAGCGGAAGGAAAATAAAGAAATCAAGACGTAGACTTTTGCAGAAGACTTTGGAGCTGAGCGATTCCAGCAGTCAGGGGGAATCTCGCTCTGGAACACCGTCTCTTCCTGTCATTGATGCCGATACCGCAAACGGGAACTCCAATGAAAATGTCAACGTACAACTGAGCGAAGGAGTTGACGATGAGGAAATGACAAGCAAGCATCCAGTCTGTACCAGTCCAACTGCTTCGCCAAGTCCTCTGACCTTTCTAATAACTTCGCCCCAATCTGAAGATCAACATATTTCGTCTACAAAAAATTCCTTACACGAGCAACCAATTTCTGCATTTACAGTAACTACTCCTCCCAAAGAAACGGCATTAACGGCAAGACAAGTGCTTCAGTCGACACGCGATACGATTCCAATTATGTCCGTGCAGCCTCCCGTGTTTATAGCGTCTTCTCCTGAGCTGTTTCCAATCCACGTGCCGGGCAAAGGCAAGAAAAGGAAGAGTGAAGAGTTTCTAACGGTCAAGGCCAACGCGAAGGATGTTGTGAAATCAGAGCGGGTCAAAAGAAGCAGAGTCCTAACTGTAAAATGTGAACCGAGTAAAGAGAGGAGACCAGCTGTGCAGAGACAACAGGCCAAACCAGCAGGTATGGAACATGTACGGTAAACAAGACAGGCTTTTAATTGTTGCGTGTCAAATTTCCACCACCGAAATCTGATCTGTGCTCCAAACCGCAGCCCTATATTAAAATCTTAACTGATTTTTATTCTAAAATTCTCTTACCGTGTTTTCTGGACTATAAGTCGCTCCGGAGTATGAGTCGCGCCAGTGAAAAAATGCGTAATTAAGAGGAAAAAAACATAAGCCACACTTTTTTGGGGAAATGTATATTATAAAATCAGACACCAGAAACTGACATTTCATCGGCAAGTTGAAAGGCAAGTTTTAGTAATAACAACAGGCTGAATAGGAGTCTAGTATGTAAACATATTAATAACAGTTATTCAGATAATTATAGCATAAACAACATAGACTCTCCATCTCACTCTAAATCAGTAAAATCCATTGAATTCTTCATTCTCTATGTCACTTCTGCGTGACCTCCGGAGATAAATCATAGATCCATGATGTAAACAGAGCGCCACTTCCTCTTCTGTGTCGCTGTCGTCAGACTCGGCATCAGTTCCAGTTAGAATTATTCCGGTCTTTCTGAATCCCGACAGGATGGTTTCGGTGTCACTGAAGTTCAGGCTTTGTCGATTTATCCAGTGGCTTCCAGGAAAGTTGCATGGTGCACCTGCCCAGTTGCTGTGAAGCCGTGTTCTCCATCCCCGCTTTCCCCCTCACAAGTTTCTCGCTCACTCCAAACTTTCTTTCTGCTCGATTTCCGTTTTTGGCTGCAGATTTCACTACTTGCAGCAGAACAGTGGCTTTTTCTACAGGAGGCATGCGCAGTAGAGTGAAGTGACAGTGGTACAGGAGTAGCAGATACTAGCACGCAAGCCTAGAGCGCCCTCTCGTGGCTGTCAGTCTGAACATTTTAATATGTAAGTCTCACTGGAGTATAAGTCACAGCAAACACCTAAACCATGAAAAAAAAAAAGTGCAACTTAGTCTGAAAAATACGGTATATGTAAATCAGGAAAGTTGTTCTTGTGAGCTTTAGGCCGTGTTATGTTTTACCTCATCAAAAACATATCTGGAGTTGTGTTTAGCTTCATTCATACATGTTTGAGTAATCCTTTATTATTAGTCTTTACACTCTTATCAGTTTGAGAGGAGAACTTTGAGAGAAGAGCCTAAAATCTGCAGGGTTTATGCGTTAAAAATGTGTGAATGAAACTAAACACGACTCGAGTATTTTTTTGATGAGGAAACAACATTACAAGATATCAGAAAATAGCGTAATATGGACCCTTAAATTGAATTAAATTGAAAATAATTAATCGCAACTTTTATATCAACATTTAAATCAGAATAATATCTGTTAGGGATGTAACAATATCCAACCCTCTCGATACGATTTCTCAAGATATCCATCTCACAGTACGATATTTATTGATATTATTTTTTGCCTCCACAAAATAATAATACAAAATTGTGAATACGCTACTTTTCTCTCATCATAGTCCAAATAATTAAGATTTAAAAGATCTTACAAGTTATTTCAGCATGTAAATTGAACTGAAACAGAGCAAAGGATCATGGTCCATGTAGTTGTCAGTTTTTTAGCTGTTGCTGCACCAAAACAAAGAATTTAAGCAAAGAGACTTGAGATTCAATATACTGTGATGGCCCAAGATATTATTGTGAGACATCTGGCAATACAATATCACAATATTCTGGTTATTGTTACATCCCTAACGTATTAATCTGTTGAAAATGACATGACCAAAGCATACATTTTGAATATTCCTTTGTAATTTTTTGTGTAACGTTGAATGACATATACTCCGTGATAGCCTACTTAATGTATTTTGAGAATACTTGTAACAAATGCATATCTTTGTTATTCTAATTTCAGGTTCTGTTCACTCAGTTTCCTCTTTGAAAACAGTCAAGTCAACCGCTCCACTTCAGCAAAAGACTCAAAGCACCAAATCCACCGCACGCCGTGAGTACAGATTTATATTTTGACAATGTACTTTTTCTTCCTCATCACTGATTTTCAGTATTGGTTAAAATAAACAGACAAGTAACGCATATCATTAGTGATGTGTGCTCCGTGTCGAGGCTTTGAAGCGTGTGCCGAGTAATCCAGGAATGCTTTGGTGAAGCACGCATCAAGGTTTGTATCGGTGATGTGTGGGGTGACGTTCGAAGCCTCGTGAACTGCCCGTACCACGTGACTGGTTCAGGAAGTGGTTTGTGGATTTGGCGCATGATTCAAAACATAAGGGCCAATGAAACTCAATGGATTCCTCCTCACATTTTATGGTTTTGGGTTATTGTGAGTTTGGTATATTCTTCTATTTTTTATTTATTTTTATTTTTTTTGCGATGGAGCCAGCAAGAAAAAGAATATTTTCCTCTGTGTGGGAACATTTTGAGCTGATATTTCCTAATAAGGTATATAGTAATAATGACATCATTAAATAAACAATATTACTAAATATTCAAATTTTTCCCCTGGTCTAATATATTTCTTTAAAAAAAAAAAAAAATCAGGTGAAGTGTTTGGTGTGTTTCAAGCATCTTGGATACAACGATGTATCCAAATGTACAAAAATGTATGTTATACATTAACTGTTATACATTTTTTGGCCACTTGATGGCGCAGTGGAGCAAATGAAGCACCTTGAGCTTAAGCATCGGCTCAAGAGTTGAGCAAATAGATGAAACGCTTTAGTTCTTAATAGGCTTTGTCTCGCCATCACTACATATAAGCCTTCAAACCAATATTTTTGGTATTTATATGCAAAAAGGCAAATTAAACCCAAGACGTTTAATTTGTCTTTATATAAATACATTGTTTCCTATACCTTTTTCTCACAGTAGTCTTTTGAATGCTGTTTATGTCAGGTACATACAGATGCATAAAAGTTTTGAGAGCTTCTCCAGTCCTCAGCCCCCAGAATATAATAATAAATAATAATATTCAATCTTTAATAAAATTGTTATTGATTTCATTGTGCTACCATCTATAATTTATTCTTTGCAAATCTCATTTCCGTTTTCTTTCAAAGGTGCTCCATCTGTGAAGTCGTCTGCACAGAAATCAAAAATAGTTGCAGTTGCTCAGTCAAAGCTCACGTTTATCAAACCTGCTCAAACAGGTAAAAGATGATTCAACATTTCGAAATTCAATTTTCTCTTAATGGTGCTCTGTGTAATTTTTCAGATTGCAGGTCCGTCACCATGGAGATACTATTGCTTTGCCTGTAATGTTCCACAGTATGATATTAAACTTGTATAAGATGCATTTATCAATTATGACTGCTTTTTATTGCTCAAAAATTCCTAAAAACTTGCATTCTTACTGTGATTGGAACACTGCAGGCAAAGCAATAACATCTCCATGGAAACAAACGACTGGCTGACCCTCTACCAGAAAAGTTACACAGTGCACCTTTTAACGAGTCTTTTCATTGAGAGTGCTTTGTTTTTCATTTGTACAGCCATACCCAGACACCCAATGCCGTTTGCTGCAAAGAACATGTTTTTTGACGAGAGGTGGATTGAAAAACAGGAACGAGGCTTCACCTGGTGGATAAACTACATCCTCACTCCAGATGATTTTAAAGTCAACACAGAATCCACTAAAGGTACATTATGTTTTTTTTTTAAAGGGCCCGTATTCCACCGTTTTCTGATCTATGTTATAATGTTGTTTCCTCATCACAAACTGGAGTTGTGTTTTGTTTCACACATATTTAACACACATATTTAGAGTAGTTCTTTCAAACATAAAACGCTGTTCCACCTTGTGATGTCATGTGGTAATATAGGAAGTGCTCCACTGTGTTTGTAAACTCACTCAACTTCACTAGAGTCATTTGAATGATTTCAGCCCTAGAATTGCCAATCTCTACTATTAATTAGTTAATATGAAAACTACCGCTTCATGACATCACAAGGTGGAACAGAGCATTTTGAGTGTTGTAGGAAGACTATTGATAAACATGTGTGAATGGAATAAAACACAACTTCAGGTCTGTTTTAGTTGAGGTATCAGCATTTTAACATGGCTTAAAGTTAACAAGAATCAAAAAAGCACTCAAAACTATGCTCAAGGTCAGGGGTGTCAAACTCATTTTGGTCCGGGGGCCGTATCCAACCTACTTTGATCCCCAAGGGGCCGGATCAGAAAACTCATGTCATATAAACCCCAAAAATAGGAATAAATTCAAATATTTGTGCAGAGAAACACAAATCTATTACAGAAATCTTTTTTTTTTAAATTGATGAACTCTTTCTTTTACAAAATATTATATTATGAACAACCTGAAACTTTAAGAAAAATGCATTTTCAACACAATGTTTTAACATGAACTTGTTTGCAAATAGGAATAAGTCAGTTTTTCTTGGAAAATCCTGCACTTGGCTCCACTTTTCTCATTTTTGACATTTTGCTGATGAGGGTGTCACGGTCAACAGTCAAAACAATCGTCCTTTAAGGGCGAAAAGCGGAAAGAGACAAGTCTTCATTTGTGCTGCTCTGGTGGGAGGGGCCACGCACAGAGGCGCTGGAGATACTGCTATGCTAAACGGCGCAGAAAATTACTAATATTTTAATAGAAAATATAATTAAAATTTTTTGTAGAAAATCAGCCGAGGGCCAGATTAAAGGTCTTGGAGGACCGGCTCTGACCCCCGGGCCATATGTTTGACACCCCTGGTCTAGGTCTTATAAAACAGTTTTGTTGCTTTGGTATATAGGGGTGGGCAATAGAGGAAAAATATAAATAATATAAATATATACATTTTTGTCTACAACTCAAACAATACTAATGATGAAGATGATATTTTGCACCAAGAATTCACTAAAACATGTTTGTAAATGTGTCCTACAAAAAATGTATTGTGTTTTTAATAAAAACACAAAAGTGTGTTTATTTTATAATTTTCTTCTTGATCAGACCATTTTCTTGTAATTTTTAATAGCTTTAATTAGCATATTTATCAGACTATAAGGCACATCGGATTATAAGGCACATCAAGGGAAATAAACTTGATTTTTAAGTGCGCCTACACAAAGTACCCAGTATTCAAATTTTGCGTATCTCCTGCACAACAATTGAAAGATTATACGTGTTATTTACAACAGCTAAAAAAAAATACTACAAGATACAGACTAATAATTGTTTTTTTGATAGTGATTTAGATATTCAGTACCACACTAGTAGACTTTATACCTCTACAGCCCTGTTTTCAGTTTGAGATTTTGTAGTATCAATTTGTAAATATTTCAGTAGGATCTAGATTCCAACTGTAAACTACTGCTTGGCCCGCATAAATACAAACTACTATGCATTTTCCCGTGAAACCGTCTCTTGTTTTTACAGTGAGCGCTTTATCTGTGGCGATGGGCAGCGAGGTGAGCGTCCCCAAAGCCCCGACCAAAGAGGAGATGTCTTTCAGCACGTACACGGCGAGGAGGAAACTGAACCGCCTTCGCCGTTCAGCCTGCCTCCTGTTCTCCTCTGAGCCTGTGGTCAAAGCCATTCAGAGGCTGGAGCTGGAGGTGGAGGCCAAGAGGCTGCTGGTGCGCAAAGACCGCCACCTGTGGAAGGACATAGGTAATGCACGGAGTAACAGTAACAATCCTGTGTTACGCAAAATAGATTCTTTGTGCTTTAAAGGTGCACTGTGTAACTTTTCTGGTAGAGGCTCCGCTACCTGCTTAACTCCATGTAGATGTTTTTTGTTTTTTTTTCCTTCGATGTTCTGCATTATGGCGTTTAATTTAACTATCTCAGACAAGCAGCCACATCACCAGGCGAAGTTACAGGTCAGATCTGTGGAGAAGAGGGCTCACTTACAGTAATAATACATGTGTTTGTGGTAGTTTTGAGAGATAAAAACTTCTATAACTTAATGAATATTTGTTTAATGCCATACTGAGGAACATTCCAGACAAAGCAAAAACATCTTTTAGCCATGTTATAATGCTGTGAACTCATCAAAAACTTATGGAAGAATTGAGTTTCCTTTCATTTAGTACATGTTTGAATAACCCTTTATTAATAATGATAATGATGATGACAATAATAATAGTAATAGTAATAACAGTAATACATTTTATTTATAATGCACTTTACATAAATCTCAAAGTGCTACAGGTAAAAACAGTGAATAAAAGTGCATCAGCATAACAGAGCATCAAGCTAAAACTATTACAGTGCACAACATAGAACCAATAAAATAAAATAGAACAATTAGCAAAAGGCTTTAGTAAAAAGATATGTTTTAAGATTTTGTTTAAAAACAGAAGTAGACTGTGGGGCTCTCAGGTGGTCGGGGAGAGCATTCCAAAGCCTCGGAGCCTTTTCAGATGTGTGAATGTGGATAAGCCTAATGCCATACTGTGGAACATTTCAGAGCAAAGCATTATAGAGACCAAAAAGAAAGTTTACATAGTGGACCTTTTAGTTGGATAATAATTGGGCTGCTTTTGCCTCATTAATGTCATGAAATCATTATCGTTCTATGTCTATATTTTAAAAAGCCAGTATGAGCAGGTATTACGTTTTCTCAGCTAATTATTTAAAAAGAGAAAGTATAATTTTTCATATTCGATTTTGGGAAACTGACTGAGCCTCCACATCTTCACTTTGCTTGTTTTTAGGTGAACGACAAAAAGTCCTCAACTGGCTTCTGTCTTACAACCCTCTGTGGTTACGGATCGGGCTGGAGGTAAAAGAACACGGCCACCTTTTTAATCTTCACTATGAATTGTGCAGTAACATCACGCTGGGGGTGTTCTGTGTGTATCTCTATGGTTGAATGTTCAGCAAAGATAGGGTGAAAACTCACCAGAAAATACAATTTACGAAAATACGATTTGAACACACATGCACATTTTCAGGAGCCTGTGATCCATATGAGTGTTTTATACAAGAAGGTGAGAGTGACTAACTGGAAAGACAGTTGGCTAATGTTGGCTACCTTGTGATTGTATGTTTATGTGTGAGAGACTTGCACAAACAGCAAAAATCAGCTCACCTGCTGTAGCTCCAACTATATCACTTCTTTATGGTCAGATTGTGATAAAATCAAGCTCAGACTAAAGTCTAACTTAAGTAACAGAGCTTCAGACAGAGTGGTACCTTCAGTTAGCATCACACCGCCAGGGAATGTTGTTGACATCAGCTGTAAAGTATCAGTAGAGTGTGGTCTAATTTAAACTCCTTTCTTCTTTAGACGATCTTTGGAGAGCTGATTTCATTGGAAAACAATGGAGACACTTTAGGCCTGGCCATGTTCATCCTGCAGCGGCTGCTTTGGAACCCAGACATTGCTGCTGAGTTCAGGCATCCCAAAGTGCCCCATCTGTACAGAGATGGTGAGTGTGTACAATGAGCAAAAATGATCTTACCTCAGAACAAATATATTGTATAAGCAGCTCGTGAGATCAATATAAGTCCCCTGTGTTCCATTTGCATTTTACCCAGAATAACGCAGGCAAAGCTGCATTTGTGCGTATTTTTAAAAGCATTAATTTACACCAAAGGCAACAGAGCTGCCCCAGAGACACCAGCCTCTTTAGAAACTCACATTTAAACAGTGAACTCTTTTGTATTGCTACATATTCATTGTTGATTGGATGAATTACGTTTTAAACCACAAAACAAGAGTTGACAAAAAGAGAGACGATGCTTTGCAGCAATGCAAAATTACAATGCCTTCCATTTATTTTTAATAGATACATCAATTCCCAGTTAGGAGTGTGAGATTTGTTAAATTATTCATATCACAATTTTCTTAGCCCCAGTTCATGATTTAATTTAAGAATTTAACACTAAATTACTCAGCCACATTCCCTGTGCTTTTGAATGTGATCTTATGTAATGTTCCTGATCAGGCCACGAGGAGGCGCTGTCTCGCTTCACTCTGAAGAAGCTGCTGCTGCTCGTCTGTTTCTTGGATAAAGCCAAAGAGTCTCGCCTCATCGAACATGACCCCTGTTTGTTTTGTATGGACGCTGAGTTCAAGGTACAGTTAAACTGTCAGAATTGTGTTTATTTTTAATGAGAAAACCAAACCAGTGGGTTTAGCGTTTATGTTTTAATATAGATGCATTTCAGTGTTGATTCTAAATGTATAGATCTAATTTTTAATTCTCTTTCAAGGTGCTCTTAAAATAAAATTTGGCATGACAATATTATCCCCAAAACTCAAAATATTACATTTTTAAAAACATATTGAACACAAACTGGAAGAAAAAAAAAAGAACAGAAATGGTCTTTTACAACTTATTAATGGTAAATTAAATTAAAGGTTGTTGGATATAGCCCTATTGTGGACACATACAAAATGAAAATGCAAACTTGACTAAATAAAAAATGTTGGAGTTAATTAAATTAGTGTTTTTTCTGTCCTGTCAGACGAGTAAAGACCTGCTGCTGGCCTTCTCTCGGGACTTCCTGAGTGGAGAGGGCATCCTCCCCAGACATCTGGGCTACCTGGGCCTCCCTGTGTCCCACGAGCAGAAACCTCTGGATGAGTTCAACTTCGCAGTGAAGAACTTGGCTGTGGACCTGAAGTGTGGCATCCGTCTAGTGTGAGTGAATCTGTATCCTGTCTCCCTGATTTCACAGACTGAGAGGCGGAATAACCAATAGACGGGTGGTCCATTTTTGTCAAAAACAAACTGAGTGCTTACACGTGGGACAAATGGGAACAAATAACATAAATGACTGACAAACAGTGTGGATTTTCACAGAATCAACAAATGAAGCACCAAAGTTATTTATCTCAGGTAGAAAAAAATAATATATTTTGTTCTGAATGTTCTGAATTTTCAAGAGGAGATGACTTCTGCATTTGGAGACACGTGATACAAATTAGCGACTGTGGTCAAATTTGGAGGTTTTTCATGGTCTATGGTCCAGACCCTCCTGGATTCTAACAAAATATTGAAGGGACTGGCTGGTCAGGCAAGCAGTTCTTGGTTTTAGTAGCAATGATCAGGTCCAACATTTGCTATAAAATATCCAAAAGAAAAATGCACAGAGTACAATGTAATCATTGGGAAAAACTGGTGGTTGCCCCATAATTCCTGGTAAACGATTATCATTTGTTTGTAGTTTTAACAATCATCTTTATTTCTTTCCTAATTTTTGCTCTTTAAAAGAAACGTGTGTATTAGTTTACTGTCACAAACCAATGCATGCAGCTGGATTTAATGCTTTAGTTTGTAATTCTTGCTTTTACACTGTTTTGTTCCAGTCGTGTGATGGAGCTGCTGGTGCAGGACTGGAGTCTGTCTCTGAAGCTCCGCCTCCCGGCCATCAGCCGCCTTCAGAAGGTGCACAACGTGGACCTGGCTCTGCAGCTACTCAAGAAGAAGGGTGTGGACCTCAAGGACGAGCACGGTAATGCAAACTGTCACAAGCACATGACAATGAGCTCAATGGTACCAAAGGCCTTTAGAGTTGAAGTTTTAGATGATAGATTTTCTATGGGAAGAAACAAAACAGTTTAAAGGGACATTGGAGGCTAATCAGAACTAGGTATTAAACCTCAAAATTATTAAACACAGTGAAATTTCTTAATCATAGACTTATGTTTAAATGATCATTTACTGCTGTATTATTTTCTTCCATTATTCCTGCTTGAAAATGAATTTCCTTCAGGATCAATAAAGTATCTCTCCATTCATTTTGATAATTGTAACTCTTATCTGGAAAATACAGACTTTGAAACACATACACGCTCACATACAACTTTTTTACAACAACAAAGATGATGGAATTATTAAATCAAAATGTCAAGGAATAAACAATTCATCATTTTCATCAATAATACAACTTATATGTAAATATTCTAGAAACCTTCAGTCTCCATCTTTCAACCCTTTATTTGGTTAATAATTTACTACAAAGTCACTAATGGGTAACAAAATAATTATTAGTTGTAGCTCTGTGAATAACGTGTTTTTCGCGAGCATCTAAAAGCTTTTAAAACCGGCGCAGTGGAAGTTGAGCATAATGCTGTTATATAAAACATTTAAATAGTGAAAGCCTAGAACTTAACAGTTTTATTTACTTTCAGAAATTAGTTTTGGATACATTTTTAGTTCTTTTTTTGGTGATTTTATTTTTTTTACAATATAGTGAATTAGTCCCCATCCAGATTTCAGTTGTCCTCATCAACAACTATGAAGTGAATAAAATTGTTCTTGTCTTGTGTGTTTGCAGGATCTGTGATCGACTCCCGGGACATTGTGGACGGCCACAGAGAGAAGACTCTTGCTCTCCTGTGGAAAATCATGTTTGCTTTTCACGTATGTTTTCTGATGATAATTTAAGACTTTAAAGGTGCACTGTGTAATTTTTCTGGTGGCCCGCTACCTGCTTGTCTTCATGGAGATGTTATTGTTTTGCCTGGAATGTTCCATGGTATGACACTAAACATATCTATCTAGCATTTATTCATTACGCTGTCCTTGTGTGAAAAGGGGCGACTCTCCACAGAGCTGAATTGTAAGGGAGTGTAGTGCTGCTACCTGCTTGTCTCCCTTATGATGGATTAGAGGTTTAATTTATACTGTGGAACATTTTAGACAAAGCAATAACATTTCCATTTCTACCCTCCACTAGAAATGTTATGCAGTGTACCTTTTAAATTTTAAGGTTTACATTTTATTACTTTTTTATTTCAATGCTTTGGTGTCTCCTAAAGGTGGAGGTGATTTTGAATGAGGACCAGCTGATGGAGGAGATCGGCTTCTTGAGGAAAACTCTGAAGACCAAGCGGCGCCTGGCGTACCTGAGAACAGACCGTGGACTCAAACCAAGTCCTGCTAAAGACCGGACTCTGTTTGAACACAACAGCTCCAAAATCAGACTGCTCATGGACTGGGTGCGAGCTGTGTGTGACTTCTACACTGTGAAGGTGAGACAGAATCAGGTTTCAAACTCCCCTTTTGTAGTTTCAATCTTAAACCCTGTTTTATTTTAAATATTTTGTACATTTAAATACAATCTCCAAGTCTAATGAGCTTGCCAAGAATGGTCATTAGTACTGTTTCTAACAATGCTAAAACTTCTCTAATCTATTTCGATACTACATATAGACTTGATACTCAACTTCACAATAATATAAATATAAATATATACATTCTAAAGAAACAAGTCATTTTCAGCCAAAAATATTTTCTTGCTGTCCAAGGGTGGTCCCGACAGCTGCATGGCTCTTTGTTGTGATGCCGTTTATAGCGACATCACCTCCCACCGGCATCACAGAAATCAACGGTCTTTTTTCTTTTATTAAATGTGAACTGCATAACTTTTCTAGTGGAGGGTCCACCACCTGCTTGCCTGTATAGAGATGTAATAGTTTTGCCTTGAATGTTAAACAGTATGGAAATAAACTTGATTATCACATTGGAGATAAGTTACTGGTCAGATCTATGGAGAAGCAAGGCTGCAGTGCAAGTTTTTCAAGGTATTTTTCACTTATACAGCACCTATAACCAGGGTTCTCAGAGTCATGGAATTTTAGTATCTCTCTCACGCAACTACAGCGTTCTGTTAAGTTCTCATTAGGCTTTTATGATTATTTCTGAACGTCTGCGCCTTTTGTTTAAAAGACACGACAATAAATGCACTGAGAGGATTTTGAATGTTAAACTATATTACCAAACCATAAGGTGAGTGGAAAGGGTTAACAGTTCATATTTAGCTCTAAAGGTCTGATCAATTCTACACATATAGGTGTCGTAAAGTCATGGAAAATTCACTTTAGGTTAAGAAAAATCATGGAAAAGTTTAGAAATATGGTCAGTAAAAATCATGGGAACCCCGTGTAACTGAATACATACAGGACATCCAAGTTTAATGCCATAATCTTGAATTTTCCATGCAAAGAAATGACATCTCCATCTTAGAAGTTTACGTAGTGCACCTTTTAAATCATTTAAACTGAATATTGTGACTTAAAATGTTTAAATTATAACATCCATGGGTGTCATAGTTTATAACATGTAGCAGATACAAGTACAGTAGGTCCTCTTTAATTAAGCAATTGACATGTCTGTACAGGTGGAGAACTTTACCGTCTCTTTTTCGGACGGTCGTGTGCTGTGTTACCTCATCCACCACTACCACCCGAGCCTGTTGCCAGTGACCTCCATCAGCCAGAACACCACCCAGACAGTGGAGAGCTCACCCAGAGGACGCCTCCAGCTGGACTGCTCCAACTCTGACTCAGACTGCTCCTTCGACTCCTCCCCATCAGCAGCCAATGGTACTTACTGCACTCTCTCTGAACTGATCTGTAGGAGTTCATACATTTATCACATATCGTGTTTATTAATTCTCAGCACTTTCTAGTTCGGTATGCAGCTGTTTAAGATTTAGAATGTGTCAGTTCCTTTTTTAATTAAAGATCCCATACTACGCTATTCTCTGGTTCATGTTGTTTTCTCATCACAAATGGACCTGGAGTTGTTTTGTTTTGTTTCATTCACACATGTTTAACATAAACCATGCATATTTAGGCTAAGTTCTTCTCTCAAACTGAAAACTCTTTTCCACTTTATGATACTCCACTGTGTTTTTAAACATACACCTTCACTAGAATCATTGGGATCATTTCAGCCCTGCAATTGCCAGTTTATTGAACTAAAGGTAAAGGGTAGCTGTTAATCTGAAATCTACCACTTCATGACGTGACACAGGGTAGAACAAAGCATTTTGAGCTTTGGAGATGTAGACATTGAACTATTGAAACACATGTAAATGAAACAAAACCGCTCCAGGTATGTTTTTGAGGAGGCAACAACATTCTAACATGTCTTAGTGCTCACAAGAGTCAATTTTATATTTTATATAGGATCTTTAATCATTATCTCAACATACAGGTGCAGTTTGACTTCAATAACGAAGTCCAGTAATGGCCTATTTTAACCATGTTTGTCATATTGTTCCCTATCCTCAGACTCCCCATTCAAAGAACTGCTGGAAAATGAGAAAAACAATTTCCGACTGGTCAACAGTGCTGTGTCTTTTCTGGGCGGAGTTCCCGCTATGATCAACGTCGCTGACATGTCCAACACCATCCCCAATGAGAAGGTGAGGTTTAAAGGTGCACTGGGTAATTTTTCTGGTGGAGGGTCCGTCAAAAGATTTTCTCCATGGAAATGTTTTATACTTTGTCTGGAATGTTTCACAGTGTGGTATTAAACTTGTCTATCTTCATGGAAACCAAATCAGACCAAGTTACAGGTCAGAACTGTGGAGAGGCAACTCTGCTCACAGTGAGAATGTCTGTATTTCTAGGTATTTTTCAGCTATAAAACCCCCTGTAATTGAATAAATATAAAGCAGAGCTGTTTAAAGTCATACTGTGGAACATTCCAGATAGAGCAATGACATCTCCATAGAAACAAGCAGGTGACGGACCCTCCACCAGAAATGTTTGACGATGTGAAACTCTTCTGTTTCAAATGTGAGAGCTTTTATTTTTTATAATGTGCACCTTATCACAATCTAATAACAACTTCCATGGTCACAATTATTTTGGTAATTTAAGGTACTTAGGATATTTTTTTCTTATTTGGTTGATTCTGACTGGCCCGTTTAGGTTCATTTGGAATTACAAAATAAACATATTTTATAGTTTTACCTGATGCATGGACTAAAGCTGCATTGCTTTTGTTTTAGATGTGAGTTTTAATTGACATTTTTTGTTCGGCAGCCTCACTTTTTCATTGCTTAGTGATAACATTTACTCTTACCAGTCTGACCAGCTCGTCAAAATGATATTTACTGATTTTTTTATTTTTTTTAAATAAAGAAATACAATTAATGTTATGCATTTTGGCCCTCCACAGTATTTTCTGTTTTTCATGTGGTCCTATGGAAAAAATGATTGCCCTCCCCTGATCTAAAGCACTTGACAGACCCTCCATCAGAAATGTTACATAACACACCTTTAAAATCTTAATGCACCTGGATATATTTAAAATGTGTACAATGATCTGAATTCTAATAATATAAAAGCATATGTTTCAAAAGAAAATCTGAAAGTTAGATTTCTTTACCAAACTTGTGCAGCCTTAGTAAGTGAATACAAAATGCATGCTCTGCCCACTAATGGTAGAATAATGACATTTTTCGTATTGATGATGTTACAGTGTATTCAGTACCTATAAACCATGTGTATTTTTAGGTGGTGATGTCGTACCTGTCTTTCCTGTGCACTCGACTTTTGGACCTGAGGAATGAGACCAGAGCAGCTCGAGTCATACAGGCCGCGTGGAGGAAATACAGACTGACAAAAGATCTACAACTGTACCAGGTGTGTATATGAATAAACATCTCACTATGTCCAGCCAGAGGTACGCTGTAAATATGGTCCATTTAAAGGTTATAGTTGAGCAAAAAAAAGTGATTGTCTGTCAAACACTTTTCTCTATGAAGATGAAATTGCTTTGTCTGGAATGTTTCACAGTGTGGCATTAAACCTTTCTATCTTCATGGAGATCAAACCAGACTAAGGCAACGTTCAGACTGCAGCCTAACCTTTATCTAATCTTTTAATGACAGTCTGAATGACACAGGTCAGATTTTTTCAATTGCAACTCAGACCACTTGTGCTCCTAAAACCGATACATATCTTATCTTATGACATGTGACTTCAGTCTCAACAGCCAGGTCACATTCATCCCACCTTCGCATGCTACAAGTAGTCGCTCACAAATGTACACAAACGTTCTTCTAGTCATGCAAAAATTGTGTATGAAATTGTGAGTGAAGCAGAGAAGCACATTGCAGTCCCACCACTCTTGGCTGCGACTCTGCACACACACGTTCCTTTCAACAGACGTTTCTGCCACTGCTCCACAAAACACTGTGACTAAAAACTTCATCCTTCTCCTTCTCAATCTCCTCCTTTAAAACAAATAAACTGTACATGTTCTGGGTCCACTACGACAGCAACTTTAAAATCTCCAGGTGCTCAGTGCTGCGTCCATGTTTAGGCGACTTCTGTAAACACAGAGCACGCTCGCTGCAAGTGACGTCGTCGTGTCTCCAGTGTGCATTTGGGACACTTTTGGGGCGTTTAAAGTTCACACTGGAGATCACATACAAGTCGCATTTAAATGGAAATGTGAACGACCTCGCAAAAAAATTGGATTTGGCAAAAAAATCCAAATTAAGCATTAAGCCCTGCAGTCTGAACGTAGCTTAAGTTACAGGTCAGAGCCGTGGAAACTTAATCTTGCTCACAGCCAGAGCCTGTTTTGTTATTTTGGAGCTATAAAACCACCTGTAATTCAATAAATGTCATACTGTGGAACATTCCAGGCAGAGCAATGGTATATCCATAGAAACAAGCAGGTGACCGACCCCGACCAAAAAGTTACATTGTGTATAATATATTATTTGTCACACTATGAGGAAATTACACTTTATAGATAAAAAGATGCACTACGTAACTCTTCATCTGCTGCCTTCCTACTGTATGGAATTAAACGCTCCGACCTCTCATTTATATAATTAAAAGTCATTTGTTATGCTGAATACCTTGAAAAAGTTGTAACTCGGTGTGATTACGGCTGTCTCTTGTCTCTACAGGATTTGCTTGTTGGAATTGGTTTAAACGTTATTGCTTGTCATGGAAACGTTATTGCTCTGTCTAAAGAGATCCAATCAGAAAAGTTAAACACAGTGCCTCTTTAAAGAATTCGAGATTGTGGTTTTGTTTTGCTTTTCAGCTAAGGACCACTACTGATTAACTGACTAAATGTTTATAAACTTGATTTTACAGGAGAGAAACGCAGCTGCCTTAAAGATTCAGTGTTTGGTCCGAAAGTTCCTCCAGCGTCGCAGAGCTGTGAGACAGAGCCACGCGGCCGCAGTCCTCCAGGCTGCGTGGAGGGGGTATGTGGCCCGCCGAGAGCTCAGGAGACTAAAACAGGCCCAGCTCAGGCTTCTGCAAACAAGAGCAGCAACTGTTATCCAGGTGTGTACCTTCAAATGTACTGAAGTGTCAATGCCTGAGATAGTTGATATGAATTCCTCCAGATTTAACAGATAATCACATCATTTTGTCCTAGTGCTAAATATGTCTGATCAGTTCAGGGATGGGACTAAGAATCACAGCGTTTCTTACATGTTGATACATTATACGGCTCATGATACGACCAGGTCACAATTGTATAATGTTTTCTTTTTTTTTATATAAACCAATACATTTTAACATCAATATTTCTTTGTTATGAAATAATACACCCAATTTGACCATCAACAAAGTGAATATATAAAATGTATTTGGTAAACAGATGTTCCACTACAGCTGTATCACCAAATTAAGTACCACGAAATGTCAATATTCTGATGGTACGCCCATGAAATCCAAAGAGCTGCACTGTTTCATGGTGCTTGTCTGAAATATTGACACTGTATTCTAGAACGTCAATGATCAGTAAAACACACATGAGTTTGTTGTGTTTTTTGGTGTTAATATTAAATGTTAAAATTGCATAATGTTTTTGGCGCAGGGTCCGTCACGTGTTTGTCTTCATGGAATTGTTATTGCATTGTCTAGAATGTTACACGTTAGATATTAATCTCTATCTGAAGTAAAACGAGTATAGGCAACTTAACAGGTCAGATCTGTGTGAACACTATTCACAGAGAGAATTATTGTATTTTTGAGCAATAGAAACACTCATAATCAATTAATGCTTGATAGATATGTTTAATGTCATACCATGGAACATTCCACGCAAAGCATTAACATCTCCATGAAGACAAATAAGTGGTGGACCCTCTACCAGTGAGGTTGCACAATGCACCTTTAATAATATTTTATGAGAAGTTAACCTCCATATTGTGGCAGAAGCATAAACTAAATATCTTTTTTGTCCTACAGGCTAACTGGAGAATGTTTTATGCCATGAGGTCCTACCAACGCCTCAGGTACCACACCATTGTCCTCCAGGCACAGTGGAGGATGCAAAGGGCAGCGTCTGCGTATAGAACCACTCTCTGGGCAGTGTCTGTGATCCAAACCTACACCAGAGCTTGGTCTACGGCAAAGATGGAACGGGAGTCATTTTTGCGTCTCCGGGCTGCGACAGTAAAGATCCAAAGAGCCTATAGACTCTGGAAAACTCGGAAAATGGAGAGGGAGAACCACGCTGCCAGAGTCATACAAACCATCTTCAGGAAGTGGTTTGAGAAAAAAACATCTCAAAAAGTGGCGGCAGCTGTGAAGATTCAAGCTTGGTACAGGATGCAAGTCTGTCTGCACCAATACAGAAAGATCAAAGTTAGCGCTGTGCTGATACAAGCCCAGTACAGAGGTTATCTACAGCGGCAATGCTTCCAGATGCTAAAACGTGAACACTACTCGGCTACCGTCATTCAAAGCGCATTCAGGGGCTACCGTGTACGAAAAGAAATCTCAAAAATGACCATGGCAGCTGTTGTAATCCAGCAACACTTCAGATCTTTACTCAAAAGAAATGCCGTTCAACAAGAGTTTCTGATGATGAAAAGTGCAGCAATTACATTACAAGCAGCGTACCGTGGAAAACTGGTCCGTGACTCTTTGAGAAAACAGCACGACTCTGCAACGGTAATTCAAGCTGCATTTAGAAGGTATACTGTCCAGAAACGCTATGGTCTCATGAAGACATCGGCCATTTTGATCCAGCGAAAATACAGAGCCACACGTACGGCGAAGAAGACGGAGGATTCTTACCTCGCGCTCAGAAACGCAACACTGAAAATTCAAGCAACATGGAGAGGGAGAATGGTTAGGAAGAAACTGGATGAGCAGACACGCTCTGCTACCATCATACAAGCTTGGTTTCGCAGACATGTTGCGCAAAAACAATACAAGTCAACCAAAACATCAGCGCTCGTAATCCAGCAACATTTCAGAGCATATATGGCTCAGAAAATTGCAAGGAAAGCATTTTTAGATACGCGCACAGCCACCATTTCTTTGCAAGCCGCATACAGAGGCATGGTGGTCCGAAAGGAGATGAAGAAAATGCACGGAGCAGCCACCGTCATACAGTCTTACGTTAAAATGTTCTTGCAACAAAAGAGATACAATTTGCTCCAAAGCGCAGCCATCGTCATCCAAAGCCGATACAGGGCCTTGATTATCAGCAGAAAAAAACAGAGCGAATATAGACGGCTCAAGGAAGCTACGCTAAAAGTCCAGGCTGTTTTTAGAGGAAATTTGGTGAGGAGAGATTTAAAACGACAACATGACGCTGCTACCGTGATACAAGCTCATTTCAGAATGTACCAAATTCGAATGGCGTTTCTTGCAACGAAATGCGCGGCGATTATCATTCAAGAACGATACAGAGCCAAAAGACTGAGGGACCAACAAGTTGAAAAGTACAGGTCAATGAAATCCGCCGCAGTAACTCTCCAAGCAGCATATCGTGGGTACAAAACAAGGAAGCACATTTGTGAAATGCGAAAAGCTGCTGTCGTTATACAGAGAGCATTTCGCGCGTATCACACTAGGAGCCAATTTGTGGCCTTGAAGAAAGCGGCTATAGTTTGCCAAAGATGGTTTAGAGCTGTAAAAATGGCCAGAAACCAGCGCTGTGACTATTTGACGATGAGAAAATCTGCCGTTTGCTTGCAGTCCGCATGGCGAGGGCATTTGATCAGAAAGGATTTGCGTAGAAAGCACACAGCCGCAACTATTATCCAATCTCATTTCAGAAAATACAAGCAACAAGCCCGCTACAGCAAGCTCAGATGGGCCGCCAAGGTGTTGCAAGACCATTTTAGGGCCAATCAAAAAATGAACCAGGAAAGGCTAGCTCTGAAAGTCAAAAGAAACGCCGTTGTCGTCATACAAGCTGCTTTTCGGGGAATGCTCGCAAGAAGGTTAATGAAAAAACGAGATGAGGCTGCAGTTGTGGTTCAGAGAGCTTTCCAAACCTACAGTCAGCGTAGACGTTTTCTCGCGATGAAACTGGCTGCGATTATAATCCAAGAGAGGTACAGGGCTTCAGTTGTAGCCAAAAAAGAACGTGCGCGATATCTGCAAATGAGAAATGCAGCCGTGGTTGTTCAGGCAGTGTACCGAGGGTGTCAAGTTCGAAAGGAGGTAGCCAGTTGGAACCACGCTGCCACTGTTATCCAATCAGCTTTCAGGAAACACAGAGAAGAAGCAAAATTTCAAGCCATGCGTTTGTCGGCCGTCATCATCCAGAGACGTTACCGCTCCTGGCTTCTGAAAAAACAAGACAGAGCACATTTTATGAAAACACGACAGTCAGCTATCGTCATTCAGAGTTACTTCAGGGGTTTTCAAGTCCGAAAAAACGTCGCCAAAATGCACCGAGCAGCAACTCTCATTCAGGCTAATTTCAAGAGATACAAGCAACAGTCAAGCTTCAAACTGCAGCGACGGGCAGCTTGTGTCTTGCAGAAAAGATTTAGAGCTCAAAAGCAAATGAGATTGGATGTGCAGAGCTATCAGCAGCAAAAGAAAGCCGTCATTGTGCTGCAGGCTGCGTACAGAGGATTGAAAGTAAGGCAAAGTATCAAACACATGCACCAAGCTGCTGGAGTTGTACAGCAAGCCTACAAAGCTTACTGTCAACGAAAGCAGTATTTGGCTCTTAAAAACGCAGCACTAACAATTCAGAAAAGGTATCGCGCAACAGCAGAAGCCAGGAAGCAAAAGCATGAGTTTCAGAAAATGCGAAAGGCTGCAGTGGTCATCCAATCTGCGTACAGAGGTCTTAAAGTTAGAAAGGAGGTCGCTCACTTGCACCAGGCTGCTACTGTTATCCAGTCAGCTTTCAGGAAACATAAAGAGGAGGTTAAATACCAAGCGATGCGTCTCTCAGCCATCATCATCCAAAGACATTACCGCTCCTGGGTTCTTCAAAAACAAAAGCGAAACCAGTTTTTGAAGTTGAGGCGTTCAGTGGTCAAGATTCAGGCGATGTTTAGGGGCCACTGCGCACGGAAAAACATTGCTAAAATGCGCAAAGCTGCTACTGTCATCCAAGCAAACTTCAGAATGCACAAGCGGAGAGCAGATTTTAAGAGACGGCAATGGGCAGCGCGTGTTCTTCAGCAGAGGTATAGAGCGCGAAAACAAATGAAACGTGAGCTACAGTGTTATCAACAACAAAAGAAGGCTTCGGTCGTCATACAAGCAGCGTACCGTGGAATGAGATCGAGGCAACACATCAAGCAAATGCATCGTGCCGCTTGTGTAATCCAAAGAAGTTACAGAACACATTGTGAACGCAAGCGGTACCAAGCTCTGAAAAACTCCACATTGACAATCCAGAGAAGGTACAGAGCGACCAAAGCAGCAAAGAGACAAATCCAATGCTACCAACAGACACGGAGAGCAGTTATGTTACTGCAAGCAGTTTTCCGAGGACATCAAGTGAGAAAAGAGCTCGCAAATCGGAATAAAGCTGCTACCGTGATCCAGTCAAATTTCCGAAGGTACAGAGAAGAAATGAAATTCCAGGCGTTACGTTTGGCAGCTGTAATTATCCAAAGGCATTATCGAGCTTTGGTTTTGCAGCAGCGGCAAAGGTCAAAGTTCATCCAGTACAAACGAAGTGCCATCGTCCTCCAAGCAGCGTTCAGAAGCCACCAAGCCCGAAAGAGACTCTCCAGAATGCACAGAGCGGCAACTGTCATTCAAGCAAATTTCAGAAAGCACAAGGAACAGTCAATCTTCAGAAAACAGCGACGGGCAGCTTGCTTGATTCAGCAGAAGTTTAGAGCTCAGAGACGTATGAAATTTGAAATGCAAAACTATCAGAAGCAAAAAGAAGCAGTTGTCGTGCTGCAAGCCGGATATCGAGCGATGAAAGCAAGGCAAAGGGTCAAGAAAATGCACCAAGCTGCTAGGAGTTGTACAGCAAGCATACAAAGCTTACTGTCAAAGAAAGCAGTATTTGGCTCTGAAATCTGCTGTAATAACTATTCAGAAAAAATACCGCGCAACAGTAGCAGCCAACAAGCAAAAGGAACAATTTCAGAGAATGCGAAAAGCTGCAATGAGCATTCAGGCCACATACAGAGGATATCAAGTCAGGAAGGAAGTGTCCAATTGGCACAAAGCAGCTATAGTTATCCAATCAGCTTTTAGAAGACACAAAAATGAAGTTTCGTACAAAGCTGTGCGTCTGTCAGCTATCATCATCCAAAGATACTACCGCTCCTGGGTCCTACAAAGAAAAGATCGAAGCTCGTTTCTCAAAATCAAACACGCCACAGTTGTCATTCAGGCTGCGTACAGAGGTTGGAGAATCAGAAAAAATCTTGCTCGCAAAAATGAAGCTGCAGTTGCCATCCAGTCTCAGTGGAGGTGCTACGTCCAGAGAAAACGCTTCCAGAAGACAAAAGAGGCAGTCTTGAAGCTGCAGAGCCGACTTCGGGCAGTGCAGATGGGCAGAAGACAACGCGATGACTACAGCAGATGGAAGCGGGCGGCCGTCGCACTTCAGAAGCACTGGAGGAGCTGGATCATAAGAAAACAGGTAGTGTGTCAGTTAAGGATGCCCAGATTACTTAATTTCTGATTGTGATTATTCTGGTCATAATATAAGAACATTTTGAGAATTTTAGACGCAAAAGAAATGTCAACTTATGCTCCATATAAAATTTAAATTGGTAATGTTTTTTACCTTGCGTTTGGTAGACATTAATTATCCAAATTATTCCAGTGAGATTATAAAAACCCAGGGAAGCACATCCTGTATTACCACATGACATCACTAGGTGGAACAGAGTGTTTCCTGTTTGAGAGAAGAACTCAAAATATGCAGGATTTGTGTGTTTAAACATGTGCAAATGAATCAAAACACAGCTCTGGGTATGTTTTTGATAAGGAAACTGCATTAAAACAAAGATCAGATATAGAGAAATATGAGCCATTTAACCACTTTTTACCAAAAAAAGAAAAAAAAGTTTCTCAATATTTTAAGCAGGCCAGTGTGTCGTCATGGTGTATGGTGTATAAAAATATTTCCATGCAAGTACATTATCAAAATTAAATTGGAGATATGAAGCGTTATCAGAACTAAACCCACTGACTGTAGCAATGTCAGAGTATTTTCAAAGGAAAGACAATCAACCCTCCATCCGAAAAGATACATAATGCACCTTTTAATATTGTACCATGAGATTTAGACATCCCTTTAAATGGTATTTCCTTTGGACCATGGATTAGAAAATTTGCTTTGCCCTTACAAGTTATTATTAGGCAACCATTGCTGGATAATCTCAACCCAGCAGCTCATATTGATGTGATGTTTTACTCTTTCAGGAGCTGGAGGCTGCACAGGCTGAGAGGAGACTGCGTTTTACTGCTGCGGTTTTCCACCATCTCCAGGCCATAAAGATCCAGAGAGCTCTGAGAGTCCACTGGGCCCTGGTCTCTGCTAAGAAACAGATCTACTCTGTCATCACCATCCAGGTAAGCTTGCACAAACTGTAAATCAGGTGATATAGAGGACACTGCGGATTGTGAATTCTCTGCTAAAAGTAATTACAGTTTTAAAAGCAATTTGAAGAGAAGTCGAATAATATGTTGATAATTACAGGAAGTCCACACTGATGACATCACACTAGGGATAATTCTGTACAAAATGTAACATTTTACACTTAAGAAACACATTTTTCTGATACTTTAAACATGATTTCAACAAAATAAAGGTGTTTCCTTATATTTGTATTGTCAGATAATACTTTCTGTGTACTTTAAAGGAGTTTTTCTAGGTAAGTTATGAATTCCCTAGTGATGTTTCCAACCACAGAATTTATTACAGTTTAAAATTTTACAAACTGTCTAAATAGGGAATATGTTTAAAAAAAAAAAAAAAAAAAAAAATCACCAAACTTTCATAATGGAGTAAAAAAATGTATTACTATTATTGGAATTTAAAAATAATCTTCCATTTAATCAATTTTATCCTATAGTTTCAGTAGCAATCATAACACATTGTAACTATGGAATTATCTTTCTCTCTGTCTAGCGTTGGGTAAGAGTCTGGATTCAGAGGAGACGTTACCATGACGACAGGAGGAAGGTGGTCCTAGTTCAGAGAGTGGTGAAGCGCTGGTTCGATCGGCGTCAAAAAGCTGCCTGTGTCCTCCAGCAGGCCGCTCGTAAGCTCCTCTTCCTCAGACGCCAAAAGAGGGTTCACCAAGGCATCGTCAAAGCTCAGGTACGTCGCACCGCTCTGTACCATGAGGCTTATTCACTTACCTGAACTCACCCAGCCAGAACCACACGCTTTGACTAAACTTTACATCGTGACATCTGGTCTTCTCGATTTCAGAGGTCGTGATTGACAGGTGGCTTAACCAATCAGCGTGACATATGCTTAGTTTCAAGAGATGTCTGCATCCAAACTTGAGACAATCCAACCGCAGCTCATTTGTATCACGTGTCTCTCAAATGCAGGAGGATTTTCACATTCTTTTGTCCAGTTCCAGTCCCTTCTGGATTCAGAAAGAATGGTTGTTCAGGCAACTTATTCACCTTATTCCGGTTGTATTATTTTGTATGGGTTGATCCTACCTGCAAATAAGTTCATTACTGACTATAAAGCCATTTTTAAGCCCCCCAGAGAATCAACAGTGTGATTTGTTGATGCACATGAACAATGAATATTGTACATAAATAAACCAACATTGTCAGATTTAATCAGCAGAACTTCTCAAATTTGCCATTAGCATGAATGGGATTCCCATTTAACCTGAAGTGCCACCATATGAAAGCAGTTTTGGAGCACAGAGAGACAAAAGTGGGTGAGGCAGAATAAGGTGAATACGAATGAAACTTTGCAGAAATTTATCAGTTCAGGCTGAATTGTACAAAGGATAACAGCACTTTGACGTAGAGAGGTAGGGCTTCGCGATATGATTAAAGGACCTATATTACGTTATTTTCTGATTTGTTTTAATTTCGTTTCCTCATCAAAAACATACCTGGAGTTGTGTTTTGCTTCATTCACACTTTCAACACACAATGTATTGTTGAAGTTTTCACCTTGTTCAAGAAAGGGTGAAAGTAAAAGACCAAATGGACATCTTAAGCAGGAAAAGTATTTACCATCAAGAATAGGGACCGGTGAGACTTGAGGAGTGAACATAGTCTGATTTCAAAAGTGAACATGGTATGATCTTTGAGTGTTGCCCCTTGACTCTGCTTCCAAAGGAGGAGGTTTATAAAGCAAGTGTGGTGAGACTATGAAGGCCAGTAGACACCGGTTAAACAGCAATATGCCACAATTTAGATAATGATATACCAATGGTGTGCCAAGAGAGGATCCTGGTATAAATATAGCTTTTGTGAGTTAATGTTAAACTGAGAGATGTACGTGGAAGATAAATTACTTAAATTCTCTGACACAATTTATGTTATTAGGTTCTTGTTTCAGACCAAGAGTTTGTTTTCATACCTGACAGTTTCAGCTGCTCACTAGCGCTCTACCTCAGAGTGATCACGTGATGTTGTGGTGGAGGCAGGATGACAGTGCCATCTGCGCCTGGGATACTGTCCTGAGGAAGTCAGACTGCAGATGCACTGTCATCCTGCCTCCACTAGTAGGAAGACACTCCAAAAACATGTATAAATCAGCTGACCAGACACGTCACAGCAATATCACGTGATCACTCTGAGGAAGACCGCTAGAGAGCAGCCCAAACTGTCAGGTATGAAAACAAACTCTTGGTTGGAGAAAAAAACCTAATAACTTAAATTATCGGAAAACCAAACGAACCTCATTGGACTTTAGCACACAAACCCTGCATATTTAGGCTGAGTTCTTCTCTCTAACTGAAAACACTCTGTTCCACCTTGTGATGTCATGTGGTGATACAGGAAGTGCTCCACCAGTGTTTCCCACAGAAAATTGGTTAGGCAAGTCTGTTCTGTCAAAAAAGTGAGGAGCAGGTAGAGCAGGTGGTTTTACGAGGATTCACGTGTTTCGGAGGGACGTCGTCAAGGGGGGGAGGGCCACTTGTTGTCAAGGCGGCCACCCTAACTATAAAGCGCTGAGGAAAACACTGGCTCCACTGTGTTTTTAAACTCCATACATCTTCACTGACCAAGGTTGCCCTCATGACACTAGTTCATCCTGTGCATTTGACCCGTTCTTCTGAGTGTAACTTAACCCGTGTGTGTGTGTGTGTGTACAGGCTCTTTGGAGAGGATACCGCTCCCGCTGTCTGAACGATAACGCCAAAGTGGTGAAGCTGAGGCAGCGTCTAAGAAAAGTGACTGCAGATGCCAGAGAAGAGGACAAGCTCTGCAATAAAACCTCCACCGCCCTGGACTACCTGCTACGATACAAGCACTTCTCCTACATACTGGAGGCCCTGAAGAATCTGGGTAAGGCTCACACTGGCTCACACTGGCTCACACTGGCTCACACTGGCTCACACTGGCTCACACTGACTCACACTGACTCACACTGGCTCACACTGGCTCACACTGGCTCACACTGACTCACACTGACTCACACTGGCTCACACTGGCTCACACTGGCTCACACTGGCTCACACTGGCTCACACTGGCTCACACTGGCTCACACTGGCTCACACTGACTCACACTGACTCACACTGACTCACACTGCTGTAGAATTTGGAATGGACACATGGGGAGATACTTTTTTTTTTTTTCTTTTAAACAGATATCTGACATTTTCCAACCGATTTTTGCCATAGGGGTGGGGTTATGGGGATGACGGGGAGTGAGAGAAAGAGAGAGAGAGAAACGTGGGGTGAGAGATGTGGAGTGAGAGAGACAGTACTGAGTTTGTAGCTCAGTTTGTAGAGCATTTGCCCACTAATCTGAAGGTTGGTGGTTCAAATCCAGCTCTCGACATAAAAAAAACATCACAGGTTGAGTGGTCAGATCCACTGACCCACAGGTTTGCTGGTGTGATTCCAGCTCCCACAGATGAATGCTGCCATTGTGTCCTTGGGCAAGACACTTAACCCACCTTGCCAGTGTCTGCGTACACTGGTGTGTGAATGTGTGTGTGAATGGGTGAGTGGTTCCTTGTTGTAAAGCGCTTTGAGTGCCTTGAAGGTGGAAAAGCGCTATAGAAAAATGTGACCATTTACATAGTGCACCGTTTTATGTCCTGTCTTCAACTACATGGCTCTTTCCCTCGGTGCAATTCCAGAGACAGCCACCAGGCTGTCCCCCGAGTGCTGTGAGCGCCTGGTGGAGAGCGGAGCCACAAACGTCATCTTCACTCTGATTCGCTGCTGCAACAGGAGCGTCCCCTGTATGGAAGTCATCACTTACTCCATCCAGATCCTGCTCAATTTATCCAAGGTAACTCCAGACTAATCCTGCAAACGTGACTTCAATAATGATAAACTGCAGTCCCTCAAACTAAATGAGTGTGCAATGCATAATTTGTGCTGGATATTTTATTTGGCATTAATAAAAACATTTGAAGCAGCAGACCTTCGCCTCGTCCCCGTCCCGTACGCCACACACCACTAAACCAGGACTAAAACAGGATTTAGCCAGGACTTAACCGTGCCGTCGGACCGCCCACCGCGCCTCCTCCCATACGCAGCCCAATTCCTTTCACTTCTCCGTGTTTGATAGAGCTTAAGAGAGCAAAGCTTCCCATCCTGCGGGACTTGCGGGCGCACACGGGACAAAGTATCGCAGATGCGGGTGGGAGCAGGACTGAAAATTACAATTCTTTGCCCGAGACCTCTATTTGACAGTCTTACTATATTATGATCTGGAGTCTAAGATCATAATATATAATATGCCTTAGCCTTAAAATGCATCTATAATATTTAAGAATGTAATAAATTTTTTTCTATTTTTCCATATCTTTTACCTAGCAAGCACAGTGTAGACAAGGGCCAAAACTTATATAAAAAATTAATTAATTACAAATTAATTACAATTAGAAAGAAAAAAAAGTGTTTTCAGTTTTGATGACATAGGTAGAAGGATTCTGTTTTTTTTTAGAATTCACCTTTCCAAAAATTTATAAAATCCAGTGCTACTTCCTGTTTTGTACTGATTGTTGTTTGTTATTATGCAAAAATTTACTGTTCTTACCTCATCATACCCAAAGTTGTTGTTTTATTCACACATGTTTGAATAACTCTTTATTATTATTATTATTATTATTATTAGGTCAGGTTTCCAAGTGAACAGCTCCTTTTACCTTTTGTATAGTAGAGGTTGGCAAATCCAGTGCTGAAACGATCCAAATAATTCTAGTAAAGATGCATGGAGTTGAAAAACACAGTGGAACACAAATCCTGCATATTTAGACTGTTTTTTTCTCTCTCAAACGGAAAACACTGGTCCACCTTGTAATGTCATGTGGTAATACAAGTGAATCTGTGTATCATTTGTTCATTCGTTTTTCAATATAAAACCAAAAATAAGAAAATGAAAAAACAACAGTTTTCTTTATTATTTGTCTCCAAAACCAAAATGAAAAAAACAGATAACGATTCGTTTTTTCAGTTTTCAATTTAGTGTTTAAATGAATAATGGAAAAAACGGATAATGACCGTTTCTCTGACTTAAACTGCGATGCTGGACTTTTGCGCCGCATACAGACTGACCCAGGACTGAACCAGGACTGACCCAGGACTAAACCGTTTTCACTTCTGGTCTGGTCCGGGTCTCAGTCCCGGTCTTAGTCCTGCTCTGATCCCACTGTCAGTCCCGGTCTAAGTCTGGTCCTTGCCTCAGTCCTGGTCTTAGTCCCTGTCTGGTTCTGGTCTGGTTCTTGTCTGGTCCCGGACCTGGTTCAGTCCTGGTTCAGTCCTGGTTCAGTCCTGGTTCAGTCCTGGTTCAGTCCTGGTTCAGTCCGTATGTCGCACAAAAGTCCAGCATCACAGTTTAAGTCACAGAAACGGAACCGTTATCCGTTTTTTCCCTTATTCATTTAAACACAAAATTGAAAACTGAAAAAGCGTATCATCATCCGTTTTTTCATTTTGATTTGGAGAAAAATAATGAAGAAAACAGTTTTTTTTTTTTTTTTCGTTTTCTTATTTTTGGTTTTATATTGAAAAACAAATGAACAAATGATACACAGATTCACTTGTATTACCACATGACATTACAAGGTGGACCGGTGTTTTCCGTTTGAGAGAGAAAAAAAACATCTAAATATGCAGGATTTGTGTGAACGAAACAAAATATAACTCTATGATTTGATGAGAAATAGCATTATAAAATAGCATTATATGGACCCTTTAATGTGGGTGGAAATTGTAGGTACATGAAAACACAAACCTCAAATTAAACGTTTAAGACAAAGGTAAAGAGTTATAAAATGGATTGAAGCTCTGAAGTTGTTTTGTCTTTGTCTACTTTAAATGTTAGATGTAGTTCAGTGACTTCCCTTTTTAATTTGTCTATTCATGAATAAAATCCTGGAATGTTGTAACACTGTTCGCTTTTGAAACAGGATTTAAAAAAAAAAAAAAAAAAAAGAGGAAGAGAAAGTGTGGAGAACATGACCCCTTATAAGAAAAGTGTCTGTGCACAGTCAGCTCAAATCTGCAGACATGGCCAAGCTCATCACTGAATTTTAATTATAATGCATTTTATTTATATATTTTCTAAACACTCAAAGTCACTGTAGAAAGAATACAATTAAAAAGAGTATATATTAAAAAAAGAGGTAATGAGGCAAAATATGAGCATGATTTAAGTTTTGAGCTTGATTATTTGCCTTGCTAATATTACCGTATTTTCCGGGCTATAGGGCGCGCTCTTCAGCCTCCAACCCCATCAAAAAATGACAATCCTATACACAAATCCACTTGGGTGTCCCAGCACGACTTCAGTACCGTATGTTCTGCACTATTGGGTGCTCTGGATTATAAGGCGCACTGTCATTAAATGGTCTATTTTCAAACTTTTTTCACAAATAAACCGCACTGGACTTTAAACGAAACACAACAGTTGGATGGGTCAGTGGGACTTTGTTTGGTGCGTTCACGGTGACTTTGGGCTTTGTTCAGTTGTGGCGTGTAGGGAGGGTGCTGTCTGGGACCGCTGGATTGTCGGCGTGTTCGCAGTGACTCAGTTGTTGAGTTGTGTCTAGAAGTGGCACATTGCACTCGCTTTTTTGGTTCGTTCCTCCGTTCCTCGTCAGCGTGGAGTGATGAGTGTGGCTGTGGGTGGTGCGGCTTTGTAATTTACCTTATTTTCCGGGCTATAGGGTGCACTCTTAAGCCTCCAACCCCATCAAAAAAACGACTGCGCACCCACAATCCAGAGCGCCCTATACACGGATCCACTCGGGTGTCCCAGCACGACTTCAGTAAACTACAAAGCCGCACCACCCGCATCACACTCATCACTCCACACGGACGAGCAACGGAATGGAAGAACGAACCAAAAAAGCGAGTGCAATGTGCGCCTTATAATCCACAGCGCCTAATAGTGCAGAAAATACGGTACTATTATAACATTTATTTATTAAATATTAAGCAAAATGGGAGCATGTTAAATAGGGGTGTGCAAAAATATTGAAATATTGATATATCGTATTCTTTAATGTGATGATACAGTATTGATATGCTGCTGTATCGATATATCGCCACAAGTATTTTTTTGGTATATTTGCCTAAATTATTTTGTTACAGCAATAAAGTTTTGTTGCTTGTTTCAAGGAAGGAAACTTTTTTTATTCAACACATTTGACATTTTCACTTTTTTGATGATTTAAAATGTTTGTGTTTCATGTTAACTTTACACAAGAGGTGGTTTAACAAAGATTTTTAGTATCGCAGCCATGAGTTAGGGGCCTCGAATCGATTAGAAATGTATTGTATAGAATAGAAAGCTCACTGTATGGAGATATGTATCGTATCGCAGCCTATGTATCAAGGTATCGTATCGGCAACTGATTAATGATACCCAGCCCTAATGTTAAAGTTGTTACTTCCTTAAAAACAAACCTGGACTCGTGATTTGTTTCATTCACACATGTTCAAGTAACTGAGTGTTTTCTGAGCCTAAATGAAATGAAATAAAACACAACTCCAGATATGTTTGTGATGATTTGATCAGAAAATAGAGGAATACGGGTCCTTTTTAAATCCTTGTGTTTTTTCCCCGTAGTACCATAAGACCATAGAGGCGGTGTACAGTGTGGAGAGCTCGGTGGAGACTCTGCTCGACCTGCTGCAAAGATACAGAGAGAAGGCCGGGGACAAAGTGGCTGAAAAAGGAGGCAGCATCTTCACCAAAGCCTGTTTCCTCCTGGCTCTGCTCCTACAGGACAAACACCGCGCTCTGGTATGGAGAACTTCACTCACAAATAGAAGAATAAAACAAATGTTATTCTTTTCACTACCCCTTTTTTTCATCTATTGTTATTAGTTCCTTTTCTCCGGAATATAATTCTGCTGACTATTGAGTTAAAAGTGTAACAGTTTGTGTAACTGCTGGCAGGTTTACATAGGAGCTTTAATTCTGAATAAAAATCATTTAATGTTGAATAAAAATGTAAATTAGGCACGTAATTCCTAATTCCCACTTACTACAGAATTAATTCCAAAGTAAGTGGTTAGTTTATTCCAATTTTAAAGCTGAATTCATTTATTCCTCGATCATGTAAACGTTTATTCTTCATAAAAATCTTCCGGTTGTTCAAGCACATGCTCGTTGTGTCGCCCTTCTGACACGATCCGGCTCCACCAGTCCTGGCTTCGGACTTTCATCCACGTCTCTTTGGATTTGTGAGCGAGATGTGGGAGTGGGCTGAGGTAGAGCAGCCTCACACTCACTTTGTCTTCTTCCTCCCTTCTCCGACACTCTTCCCTTCTCCTCCTCAGCTGACAGACATAAAACTTGTTGATAGAATTCTTCAGCTGCTGCACAATTATCATCGGGACAACTGCGGAAAAAATTTGGATCATGTTTGTGTCCGTGGCGTAACAACAAACCGAAATCACAGAAAACCCGGTAGCAGCTGAAGTGTGTGTTTTTTTTCTGGTTGACGTAAATACATTCGTGTCCCTGTCCAATCAGAACTCTTCCCAACTCCCAGACATTGAGCGGAATTAAAGGCGATTTAACATGTTTTCAATGTAAAATTATAGTTTCTATCTATGTAATTCAGTAAGTATGTCATTCAGAACATTTAATTAAAATCATCATGTAACTGTGGCCATTAACAGCTCTACCAGTGATTTTATTGATTAAAAAATACCTTCGATAAACAGGTATTCTGACTCATTAGTTTTTTTACCCTCCATATTGATCTCAATTTTTTTCTTTTTTTTTTTTTCCTTTTCAAAACAAGAGCTGTTTAGTGAAATTTGTTCCTGAACTGTGCTCCAAACCACCAGCTTTAACTGACAGAGAATTGGCTGTAGACCTCACTGTTAAAAAGCCTCAAGATGATCATTGTCTGTCAGCATTGCATTTTGAGTTAGATTTATTGCCTTGCTCCAGAGTTTGTGCAGCATTTTGTGACCCGTTGTGTCAAGACGGGCATCTGGTCTAAATAACAGGCAGCCAAAAGAGTTGATGTTTACCACATTTTTATTAGAAAAATGTGCTGCAAGAGCTTCTTACCTCAAACCAGGAAGTAACATTGGCCAGTTGTTGTGATGTGACGTATGAACTCCGCTTTGGGCTTTCGGACATTTTCTCAGCACTCTATAGTAATGATTGACTGTTGTTTCCAGGAGGTGATGAAAATGCCCAAAGCCGTTGACAGGCTTCAGAGCATCTACAGACTCACAGCTCGCAAACACAAGATGGACGCCGAAAGAACCGTCACGAAGCAAAAGATGAACGCATCCATAAACGGAAGCTTTTTCATTCAAGCCACGCCACGCAAGACTCGGCCCGCACCAAAGTAAGTGTTTAAGAAACCGTAAGAAACAATGTTGTCCAAATAGATCTGATGCCCCAAAGCCTCGGCGTTTTCTAACTGTTTTGTATTACGATGATGATACTGCAGTATTTTGATATGCACAGTAAGTTCAGATCATTTCAAGTGGACCTATTCTTCCTGTCATGTCATGGTTGTTTTCCATTCTCATTTACCATCTCGAAGTTGTATTTGGAGTGATTTGTGCATGTTTCAATTAGAGCCCGACCGATATATCAGTTGACGGATATTATCGGCCGATATGCTTGCTGATAGGGGCCGATATTTCACGTGGGCATGTTATACCTCGTTATAAATCTTAGACTCTCTACATTATGTTCATTTAATCCAATTTACAGACAGATAAATGTCCTAATATGTGGCTCCACATCAGTATTTATCTGCAGAGTCATTTGTCTGTGTGTGTTTCCGTACTGTCCCTGAACACACGTCACTCAAGTGTGTTTGTTTACACTCGCAGACATAGATCCAAGCACTGAGATTATTTTCTTTTTACGGACAATCGGTTTGAGTCTGGATTAAAAGGACATTTATTAGTGCAGACTTGTGATGTGAGGAGCCTGTATGAGCGGTGAATGTTGGAAATATGTCGACTTTGAAGCTAGTTTTGGTTATTTGTTATTGGTTAGCGATTAGCTGCTGTAGCTCCCGCACATAAACAGGCTGTTTTCTATTGGTCGATTGACTACATTGGCTGTATATTTGTTACAGGACCTGCACTGATATATAAATGAGCTGTGAATAGATGTGAATGATCCATATTTATGCATATAATGAATTACTGCGGCGCGCAGCATTTACGGCTAAAGGCTAATAGCGGTAGTTTCTTTACTAGCTAGTAGTGATGGGTCGGTCGCGAACAAAAGCGAACGGCTCTTTGAAGCGAACAGCAAGAGCCGTGTTTTCTCTTTCTCTCTCGTTTTTTCTCTTCACGCCGCGTGCAGACTCTTGGTAGTTTGACAGTGGCAGCGGCTGAAAACGAAACTTTCAGAAATCTGCGTGTGCATAGGATAGAAAAAATGTGCATGTTTGTCTGTTGTTCAGCATAAAATAAATAAACAAGGACTAATCTTGGGCTCGAGAGATGGAGAGAGATAAAGACGGCGACACTCAGTCCTGGTTCAGTTGTGGTTTAGTCCTGTTTTACACATGGTTTAGATCTGTTTCAGTCCTGGTTTAGTCCTTTTTCAGTCCTGGTTCAGTTCTGCTTTAGACCCGCTTGCAACAAAACAATCTGAAGAGTCGCTTGGGAGCCGAAAGAGACAGTTGCTTTAGTGAGCTGAGCCAAAAGAGCCGGTTCTCTAAAAAGAACTGGAACACCCATCACTATTAGCTAGAATGTGATGCAAAAATGCCATTAGTCTGACCTACTGTCTGTAAATATGATGTAAAGAGTCAGAATAACAATAAATGTTGCCTAAATAAACCCAATTTAGAATCCACTAGAGCCAAACCTACGTTTTTTTAAACAATTCAAGATTTACAGTGACTTTTTACATCACTAAATATATCAGCGATTATATCGGCAGCTCCAACTCCCATTATATCAGTTTCATATCGGCCACAACAAAATCCAGGTCGGGCCCTAGTTTGAATAATATTCAACCTTCTCTTTTCAAGACCTTGTTGCTCTGATCTACCAATGCCGTATGTATAATCAAGCTTATGACTGTGATGTTACTTGAGAGGAACTTGCACAAATGAGCTCACCTGTTATAGTTCCAATTGTTGTAGTTCAGATTATCATAAAACAAACCTAAAATGAACATCTAACTTGAGTTACAAAGTTAAAGACAGAGCAGTGCCTACGGTTATCATCACACCCCCAGAGAATGTTGATGACATCAACTGCAAAGTATCAATAGATGATTATTTTTGGAGTCTGCATGTTTAAACTTGTCTGTTGTTGTTTTTAGGTTTGCACCGGAGTGGGTTCTCAGAAAAGACAAACTCAAAGACGTGGTGGATCCTCTGAGGGCCATTCAGATGGTGGCAGAGACATTGTCCATTGTTTTGTAAATATACATTTTTAGACGCAAATCGTCTCCTTTTTAAGAGAGAAACGTGTGTACTGTTGTTTAACTGTGTATATAGAATGTTTTACATGTACAGAATAAAACCAGTTCCGTTTTTTAATTCCATGTGTGATTTATTGCAACTAGAAGTGTTATAGACTTATAAATACGTCTGCTACTAATAAGATCTGTTATTGTTTCCTCATCAAACACATACCCAGAGTTGTGTTTTGTTTCATTCACACATGTTTAACACACAAATCCTGCACATTGAGGCTGACTTCTTCTCTCAAACAGAAAATACTGTAATACATTCCATACAGAATGGAAAACATGCAAAATGGAGAATGTTATACTTGTGAACATGCTAGGCAAAGCAAAGACATCTCCATGGTGGTGGAACCGTCAATAGAAATGTTACATAGTGCATCTTTAAAGGAAACAAAATAAATCTGTCAGTGATTTTCCTGAATTATTCAACAGCATCAATCTGTATTGTAAACTGTATTTAACAGGGATGTATACATTTTGTACATATACCATGATCTTTCTTAAACACATGTGGGGAGGAGCATCACTCCATCGGTACAGATCACTCTCATCTCCTGTGTGCCGATAGGATGAGCTCCTTCGATGCAGTCAAATGTGATGTGATCATTATGGGGGGCATACAGCTTTTGTCCCCGTCCATATCTGGATTTTATTTTATTTGATCGCATCAGGTCGTCGGTCACCGTGCAGGGTTCTGTTGGGGAAAAAACAGAGATCATCTTTAGTTAATTCTAGAATGTCGGGTCGGGGGGGACGGTCTGCTGTGATTATTGGTCATTTGAAGAAATGAAGTGTAGGAACAGAGTTAGGACTTAGGAAAGGTGTTAAGTTTAGGATTAAGGAAATGGTTTAAAAAAAAAACCATACAGTCAAAACTATAACATTTTAGGCCTGTTCATAACAACAGAAGCTAATTAGTTACCATGGTAGCCAGAGCTACATGATCACTTATGTCCCTCTAGATCTTTTTACCATCTAAGTGATTGTTCCATGATCCAAGCTTTTTCAAGCATGTTCATAATTATATGGCTAGGCAAAATGTAAAGGAATCAATCATTTTTGTCGTCATATTGATCACTCAAGATTTTCTGTTCAATTTTATTTTGACTCATTAAATCAAAATAATAAAAATGTTGAGACAGTTAGGAAAAGATCACAGCTCTTATAAATGACAATGTAGATGTTGGAGTGTGAATATGTGAGTCTTACTGAGACATTTGATGTCCCCGGTCCAAAGTCCGTTGAGGCAGGTTTTGTATGGGCCTCCTTCCATTATGTGCATGACTTGACATTGGTATTCAACCTGTGAATTATGGCTAAATGTTCCACTGGGGGCCAAGAAGTCTCCATTATCCAAGGATGGTGGAGATCCACAACCCCGAGGAACTGAAAAAGAAACAGACATCATTGGTTTTGTCCAGAACACTGCAGCTCGTCCGCTGACAAAAAGAGATGAGCGCTTATCATGCCTGTGCTGTGTAACCTGCACTTCATATGGGTGCATTTCAAAATGTTATATTGATTTGATTTTTAAAATCCATACAACTTCACTACAGGTTGTATTCCACGAAGCAAGTTAAAGCAAAAGCCTAGCTTATTTGGCCTATCCAGGTTTGTCAAAACTTCAGTTCACTTCCACCAAAGTGAATAACCAGAGATGATGCTGATTTGCCGCAGTAACAAGCACCCAGATACAAACTGTCAAGATTATTTTACCTCTACCTCCAAGAATGTCTAAAACAGTTTAGTCAAAAGTTTTACCATGTGCAGTTACAGGTGTAACAGGTGTTAGAACACAATCTCTTAGCAGTTGAAAAAGTGACTTTTATAGTGGCGTGTTGCTTGAGACTTTCACAGTCCATACACTCCACATGTGTGTGGACGCTGCACTCATCAAAAAGGCACAAACCATATAAAAGCCTATGGTCATTATTTCATTCACATGATCTTGCACATGTGTCTGTTGTGAGGAGCAGAGCAACTTTTCCACACAGACAGATGCTGGTTTGGACTCTGAGGATGACAGTGGGTTCTGTCTGTCTCACTCCTTCATCACGTCTGTCTCTCTCTCTTCATTCCCTCGTCTCTCACTCCCTGTCAAACTGCAAACACGTCGGCACAGATTTTATTGTTTCTTGTTAGGCAAATTCATTCCCCAGGTGTATTAACCGGGAGAGGAGGGAGGAGTACTGTCTTTCTTCTTGCTCCTCTGATCAGAATGACCGGAGCTCTAAACTTCAGGCCTGAATTACCTTTGGTTCAACCAACTATTTCTGTCATGGAATGACTTGAGACTTCAGCTGTAGATGGAGCTAGATTCAGCTCAGGATTTCAGGATAAACCTGGATTTGATAAACCATTTTGATGGAATACCAATCATTTGGATAATCTCAGTCGATTTTTACTGAACTAAAGGTAAGAGTTTGCTGTTAACTTGAAAACTACGCTGATGAACTAACATGTAATCTCTGTGTAATCTTTAAAGCCCTTAATTATCTTTCCTTCAGTCAGACAATGTAAAAAGGTATCGTAGGTGTTCGCTGCTGTGTGCGTTGTGTCACCATGGTAACTTCTAAATACATATTTGTGTGTGTAGTGTGTGTTGTTGCATACGTTGGCAGAAAGGGGTAAAATCCCAGGTTCCTCCAGGTTTTCTCCATTACATTACCTTACATGTATTAAATTACTGGTGGTTTTATAGCTCAAAAATACTTAGGAAAACAGGCAGTCGCCTCTCCACATATCTGGAGCCTTACTTATAAAAGATTGCTTCAAAATCTACATGAAAGAGTTTGTACGGACAAAACGCAGATTTCATGTACAAGAAAAAATACTGGGATTTGTAAAACCTTCCACAGCACTCCCTCGTGGAATCGCGGTGCCGTGTGCATGACCACAGTGACTTTGACTGTCTTTTGGCAGCGTGCTTCCTCTGTGGGTCAGCTGTAAGAGACGGTCAGACGTGTGTCCAGAGATTGTCTCATAAATGGACACAGTGACGCTACAGGGATCATCCAACATCAGTGTCAGCAAGTGCCAATGCGCTCTGGTGCACGTAGATGAACGTCCATGTGCACACATCTTTATTCCCTCTAACAATTGCAACGCTTTGTAAAATTACAATACACAAATATATTGTGCATGTTTCCCAAACGCTTCAATTACATTCTGTGTCTTTTTCTGGAAAAATAAAGTTAAAACAGGTTTAAACTTCCACTAAACACAATGACCTCCTTTATAAATACCAACTTTGACGTGTGTACGCACATTTCTGACCTCATTTTATGCGTACAGAGGCTTTATAAATGCCTCTGTACACCCTGACCTGCAACTTTGTTTGGTTTGATGCGCACGAAGATAGGAAGGTTTAATATCATACTGTGAAACATTCCAGACAAAGTATTTGACGGACATCATTGCTTCATGTTTGACGTCTTCAGTATGTATCAAAAATTTTGAAAATTGTAAAAATAAAGAAAAACCAAGCACTGATTGCGATGGTGTGTGCAAACTTTTGACTGGTAGTGTAGTTGTGTCCTTGTGTCTTTTTACACAAACTGACACTTAACTGATGTAAAACTATGATAAATATTTACCACAAATAACATACACCAAACCAAGTCATCATTACAAAAACATGAACACCTGTCATTTACAGTTTGTAAATGCTGCTTACCTTTACACTCTGCAACTGAGCCTTTCCAAGCTCCAATTAGACAGTAAACGGAAAAGGTTCGGGTGGGTTCATAGGTGCATTTAAAATAAACTCTGTCATTGGTCTCGTATTTGTCATGCTGATAATAATCAGTAATCTCAGCATTTTTATAAGAAGGTTTTGTGCAGCTTTGTTCTGGAAAACTTGAAATTAGAAAATTAGAGCAAAGAACAGCATTTGCAACCTTTTGAATGAAAAACTAACTTTAAAAGCCCTACACCTGACTTGTATTTGAGCAAACTTTGTCTTGCCCCAGTACAGATACAATATGAGCAGCTCATGAATAAGTCTACTGTGTACTGCATCTAAACTTTACAGCTTTTTATTAAGTGGTAATCAGGAAGTGTATTAGAATGCTAGTTGTTTGCATTGCTGTGATGCAAAACTCCGCTCTGGTCTCTGAAAGTTGTAAAAAATGCTTAGAAATTCTCAGGTACAGGGCCTTTAACGTTTATTTATTTCTTTGATTTATGTTATGTTTACTTGTAACAGTGAGTAATGGTTTTATACATATTTGTCAGTATATTCTCTGTAAATGTGACAGTGATGAATCCTAAAAATGTGTGTGTAAATATAACATAAAAAGTAGTCCACAGTACCTTTACAAAGAGGTTTTGGCTCCCAGCCTCGTCTGGTGCACCTGGCTCTGCTGTCCCTGTCCACAGCCTCAAAACCTCCACGACACTGATACCATAATATTTCATCAATGTCGGCTGAGGTCCGATAAGAGTACGGATAATAAGGATCTCTAGTGCTTTCCCACTGGTAGACAAGTGGATCATCTTTGAGACATTTGACCGCTGAAGTAAACACAAGAACAACACAAGGACATTAAAGAGATTTAAAGATTAACACTGATACTTTGCAGCTGATGACATCAACATTCACTGGAGTGTGAAGCTAACTGGAGGCATTGATCTGTCTGAAGCTCTGTTACTTAACTTAGACTTTAATCTTTAAACTTTGAGCTTTGTTTTAACACAAACTAACCAGAAAAACCTGACTGAGTTGGAACTACAAAGGGGGATCTGATTTGTGCTGTCAGACAAGTGTGAAGTATACATTAGCCGACAGTTTTTCACTTCGTCTCTGTCCCTTTTTGTTGAAAATCAAACACCTAAATGGGAGCATCACAGGCTCCTGAAAATGTGTTGTTTAAATGTGTTTGAATCCGTTTAGTATCTAAAAAACTTATCAGGATCTGTTTGCTAATGTGTGCGTTGTGTTACCATGGTAACGGCTGAACATTCCACCACAGACATACATGCAGTACCCCCAGCGTGATGTCACTGCAAAGTATCAATTTCTAAATACATATTTGTGTGTGTAGTGTGTGTTGTTGCATACGTTGGCACACAGGGTTAAAGTCCCAGCTTCCTGTGCGTCCTGTGTTTTTACAAACGAGTTGAGCTGTCTGAAGCTCGGTGCTCTTCACCCACTTATTTTCTCCACACGTGACGGTCAAACTTTCTCCAGGGGTGAAAATGATCCTGTCCCGAGGATTGTAAGTAGTGCCTGATGGTGGGTCAGCACTGACTTTACATGTTATAGCTACAAGAAATCAGAAATCTGTTATTACTGAAGATATCTGGTTTAACACATGAGTTATTTGGTTTGTGCTAGATTCAGGGACGGAGGGACGGACATTAAAATGTAGCTCTGGTTGCTGTCATTGCTCAATCTGGCACCTTTTATAATTTAATTTTATGTAATTAGTTGTTCTGTCACTGTTAAGTATTACTAAGCTTCAATATATTAATATTAAAAATCAATTTCATGGAGTGTATTCTTAGAAATAGAAACAAAAATAATTGTATTTGACCAAACTGCCCTACAAAGGCAGAACACCATAACATCATATCTGGTCAAAAACGAGTTAATGTCATTTTGGGGGAATTTGTGACCTCCTTTATCATGTGAATAAATATCGTGAGAAAATATGACAACCATAACATCCAAAACTATACGTGAAACCATGGGTTTGAAACTCTGAAGTCATTTTTCCCAGTTTCGCACTCAGGTGAGTTAATAATAAGCATAATATCTGATTTAAATGGTCACATTTTATCAGCTCTTTTCCATTTTCAAGGCACTAAATGTGCTTCAAGGAACCATTCCCCCATTCACACACACATTCATACACCAGTATATTCAGACACTAGTGAGTGTTATTCTGAGAGTAAATTTGATTGAACAAATCCTTTTTTTTTTTGTTTTTTGTTTAAAGTACAGTTACTATAGCAACTCCAGTGCTTGCGCTGAAGTATCTGAGCATGTGCAGTATGGATCTAAAAAACATCGACTAGTGGTCGCTCCAGGTACTGCAGCTCCCAGGAGCTCCGGCCCAGAAAGAATCCTCCCATAAAACACAATGAGAGGATTAGTGTATCTGACCATAGAGCACAATACAATTTTGTGAAATCAAACTGCCTGTGTTCGACTGACAGGGCAACGACAGCTTTTTTGTAGGATTCTTATGTTCATGTTGGGTTCATCTTCCAGATCTTATTATACTTCCATGATCTGCATTTCCAAATCGAGCAGTGGCAGTTGTCATGGTAATATGTCAGCTTCTGTTGCTGTGATCAGGCCTAAAATGTCAAGTTTTTAATGTTTTATTTTATGTCTAAGTTGAGATAAGGCTTCTAATCTTGTTCCTAAACTTAACCAAACCCAAACTTTAACCATTTTCCTAACCTTAACCATAACTCATTTCCTAAATTTAAAAATAACCCTGTTCCTAAATTTGGTCACTTCAGAGAACCAGTCACAGCCAGGCGTCCCTCCCAACCCTACATTCTAGCATTAACCTTTGAATTTGTTGACTCATGTTCACACTGAGGCGTGGGGACCCACTGAGCTGACTGGCCTATTTTCTGACACGTTGCAGGTCTCCCGTCCCTCTTTATATAGTTTTCGTCACATATGTAGTTCAACACATCCCCTTCTGTGTACACATCCTTCTTATTAGTAATTCTGAAGTGGTTCAGCGGAGGCTCGAGACACAATATTACTGTAAAACAAATCCAAAGCAACATGTTTAGGTTATTTATAGAGAGGTATTTAGTACAATGGAAACGAAAATGCTTAATACAGGTTAGACCACTTATTTCACCAAACAATGACTAATTACAGATGTTTTTTTTTTTTTTTTTTTCACTTTTAATGTTGATACCAATTATTTAGATTCAAGAGCAACTGATAAGGTCTGCCAATATTCATCATCTGATCAGATACAACCATGGGTCTACAATAAGATCTTATTACACTTCCATGGGCACAATCACCGGTCCACTTCTAGATGACACTGTTGAGTCGGGTCACTTCGGGCATTGTCACAATGCCCATGTTATCAAAATTTTTACCAGGCCGGTCGATTCTACATCTCCATGTTAGACTTTTCGTTGAGGTTCAGGGGGTCAGTAGTCCTCACCAGTTACTTTGTTATTGGCTCGGGCCAAAAACAAAATAACTGTCCCTTACATGTTGTCATTACATATTAAGTAAACATATTCAAATAAGGTTTTACTTTTGCTCAGTGGTGGAAAGATTACAGTACTGCATATTTGTAGTAAAAGTAGTTACATGGCAATTACAAGCACAGCTTCCAAAATTATGCTTAAATAAAAGTAAAAGTATACATGAAAAATACTACTCAGATATTCACCTTCGCATAATTTGCTCTGGTTTCGCTTAAAAAACGCTTATAAACTCAGTGCAGTGAATAATTAGAAATGCTCTGACTGCATAAGTGAGGAATAACTCTGGAGCACCACAAACGTTTTAAAATGAACTTTTTCACATTAAGAAAAATCAGGTACAGGGCCTTTAACTTTTATTTTATTTATGTTATGTTTACTTGTAACAATGAGTAATGGTTTGAATCATATATGGGTCCGGTCAAGCGGTAACGGAGGGAAATGGACAGATTTTTTACATTCAAATGTCTCTTATTCAGAAACTAGAGGGACTATTGAAATAAGTAAAGTATCAGAATGTAGGAAAGAGTTAAAGGTTGTATGGAGGATTTTTTTTGTTTCAAATTGTCAATGATAGCATTATAGAGGTGCAGTAGCCTTGTAATTATGATGACCAAAAAAAAGAGAACAAAAATTCATCAACTCTGGACGTGGTGGGGCTAAACATTTGCCAATAGATAACGACACTGCCTCGTTATCTGTTAGCTGACAGGCTGTCAATCAATCTCCCTACGTTTCTAGTGTAACTGACTTGTCTGCGCCGCCGGTACGTGGTTTACGTACGTCTGTCACGCAGTCCACAGACGCAAGCCGCACAGACGCTGTTTACTCCACCAACGCAACAGTTCTTAGCGGCTTTTTTTGACCTATATCTTCCTCGCAGTTAGCACAAAGTTTGTTGCAATGGCGACAAGAATCCAGGAGCAGTTCGCCGCAAAAGAAAGTCCGTTTTTGAGGTCGCTGAAAGAAGAAGACAAGGGGAAAAGCAGCGAAGCCAAACTAAGGTGATTCTTGAAGATTCATTCCAGCGATGGCGCGACTGAAGCAGACGCAGGGTCTAAAGACTGACGCACTGGTCCACAAATTACTCCTGGGCAGGAAACTTCTGCTTATTATGAAAACGTACTTTATTTCCAAGAGCTAGTCAAACGTTTTTCAGGACACGAAAGCGATATCCTATGTCTGAAAACGTAATTTTCAAGGCAAAGAAAGAGTCCGCTTGCTGCTGCGTGTTGTAGCTAGTTCATTCGCACTGAATCTCCGCGCACTCTTCTCTGCACCCCTTTCCTACTCCTGTCCCCGCTGCCCGATCCGCTCTTCCCCCTGCTCCTCACTTCTCCGGGCACGGAATCTCCGCGCACCGCTCCTCTCTCTCCTCTCTCCTCTCTCCTCTCTCCTCTCTCCCTGCTCCTCACTTCTCGTCCGCGAACGAAATGTCCGCACACCCGCTCCCCCCGCTCCTCACTTCTCCGTCTTGCCTAACCAACACTGTAGTTAGTTGTTTACAAGTCATGTGCAGCGCACTGGCTGTAAACAAACCTGTTTCTGGCGTAAAGAGGAGGCGGGAGGAGGCGTTTCTACGTAGGAGCTGTAGGGGAGGGGGGGTGGTTTCACGCATGCGCAACATTTGAAAAAGGACAAACAGTCACTGGATTTCTCGTTCCTTGGAAAATCCTCTATACAACCTTTAACACTCCAACAGGGTCAAGTTAAACCTGTGATATTCTTTCAAGTTGTTGACAAAAAATTTAAAAAACTCATGTCAGTAACGGAGGGAATGAAATATGCTGCACTTTTTGGGCAATAAACACAAACAGTGATAACTCTTGGTTCTCACTTACATATCCTTAACAAACTGGTTTGAATATTTGCTTCATATAGTTTTCTACCATATGGTACAAGATTAGGTTGAAAAACCTCTTACTTTTTGAGTCATGAGATTTTTTATTAAGAAAGGTCATGGTAACGGAGGGAAAAGTAACGGAGGGAAAATTATGTAAACAAGTAGAAGGTGCAGGATTTTACATCATTTGTCAACTTTTTTCTTCTGAATACTTTAATATAACTTCAAAATGAAAGGAAACTATTACTATAAAATATGTCAGTCCTTCCAAGCAAATTTTATCATTTAATTTTTTTTTTTTTTAAATCATGTACCTTCATCAACAGTTCAAAGATGGAATAACACAAGATATGATGAAATACATCCATTTATTGACATGATTTGCAGGTCTTTGAAATTTGGGAAATAATTTTTGTTCCATGTTTCATACATGGTCTGTTTAAAACATATGGAACTTTAGAACCAAAAATGGTACAGAAAAAAGGTCAACAGTTTCATAAACTAGAGTACATATGTATCTGTTCAATACATTTTTATATCAGATGCATTAACTTGAATTTTTGGCCCTGCTGTTTAGTTCTGCTTGACTGGGCCCATTTGTCAGTATATTCTCTGTAAATGTGATAGTGATTAATCATAAAAACTTGTGTGTAAATATTAGGGGTGTAACGGCACATATATATTCGTGCTGAAGAGTTTTGGTACACGACGTTCGGTTTGGGCACGATTGAATTCACGCAATTTTGTGTGTTTACATTCCACCACTACATGTGCAGCTACACGGAGGCTTGGCTCTTTAATATTCAGAGGAAACTCATCCGTGACTGGGGCAGTGTTTCCGCAGTGCTTTATAGTTAGGGTGGCCGCCTTGACAACAATTACCCCCTGCCATAACTACATCCCTCCGAACCACGTGAATCCTCCCAAAACTACGGTTGTCCTCACTTTCGCTTTTCGCTGGCATGCAATCTCCGCCCCCCTCCATACCTTTCCATACCTCTCCATACCCACGACCTCTGTCTCTAGTGAAAGTGTATTTTCAGCCAATGGGGACATTTTTTTGCAGACAACGTGGACAAGTTGTTTTTTCTGGCCAAAAATATGAAGACTGAGTACATGTTACAGCTACAAGAAATCAGAAGTATGTACTGGTATTTGTTCATGTATACATTAAGGCTTCATCATTAAGGTTTGACTTACGAATGCACTGGATGTCACCTGTCCATTGTCCATTGGTGCAGGTTTTAAACAATGCTCCAGTCATAGTGTGGTGATCATCACATCCGAATCTGACAATCTGACCATTTCCATAGATTAACGTTGTATTATCCAGCAAATATCCATTTGTGAGCGGTGGAGGGGGAGTGCAGCCCAGAAGCACAGGAAACGAGTTCTCTGTGACAAGAAAACAACAGATCAGGCCTGTGCTTTAAAGGTCCTATATTACACACTGTTGACTCTTGTGAGCTTCAAGCCATGTTAGAACCTCCTCAAAAACAGACCTGGAGTTGTATTTGTTTCATTCACACATGTTTGAGTAATCCTTTATTATTAGTCTGTCTCCATCTCCAAAGCTTAACTGCTCTGTTCCACCTTGTGATGTCATGGAGTGGTAGTTTTCAAGTTAACATCTATCCTTTACCTTTTGTTTAGAGATTGTCAGTTCCAGATCTGCAAATATCCAAATGAATCTATGAATGTGCATGCAGTATAAAAACTCTGGGGTGCTTACTGTGTTACCAGATGATATCACAAGGTGGAACAGGGTGTTTTCTGTTTGAAAGAAGAACCGTGCAGAGTGCGTTTGTTAAATATGTGTGAATGAAGCAAATCACAACTCCAGGAATGCTTTTGATGAGGTAACGATATTTTAACATGGCTTAAAGCTCTCAAGAGGACCATATAGGACCTTTAAGCTTGTAGAAGTTACTACAGTGAACATTTATACTGAAATTCTATTCCATTTCCAGCTTCTTTATAATCTAATTTTACATTTCCAGTACCCTTGGTAAGGGTTTGTGTACCCCTGTTTGGGAAACAGTTGTGCCATAACTAGAGATCAACCTAGATGCCTTTTTCATGGCTGATGCTGATACTGACTGTTTAGGATTCAGAGAAACTGATGTTCAAAAAATTCTGCCAATATTTTTGGCTTGATATGTAGGGCAGACTTTGATTATCATCCCCAAATTATGCAATTTAAGTTTACTACAAACTCACCCACAGCCCTTTTTTACCAAACCGTCATGAGAGCAGTGTAGCCGTGTTTTCAGCAATTATCAGCAGTTCAGTAGCTTTGTGTGGGAACAGATCGACCTAAGTATCGGCATGTGCTGAAGGTTTAAGACCGAGAGGCAATGTGCTAAAAAGTCCAAATATCAGCTCGATATATCAGAGTATCTCTAATTATGACATCTCACCAACACACTGGCCGATGGCGGCAGCTGTCCAGCCGTCCTCAGTGCAGATGTAGGTGGTGTTCAGACCAGTCGTGAAACCAGGATCACAGCAGAAGTAAATCACATCTCCCCTTTGGTACTCTGCCTTTTTGTATTCATCCAAAACAAATGCATGTTGAACTGAAGGCAGCTTTGAACACTCTAAGAGACAATACCAGCCACAGTGAGAGTGAGGAATGTTCAAAAAGACATCTGGTTTTAAAAGTGGACAGATTAAAATGCTCCGTACCATTTAGTGTTAAAGTAAACTCCACAAGTCTCCATAGAAACAGCATAAAAATCACTGTGGGCTTCATTGCTGCTTTGGACTGAAAACTGTGGAGAGGTTTACGTGTCCTGTTCAGTATTTGTGTAATACCCAGCCAATCAATACTTGGTAAAGGCCATTGCACCTTTATTCTAACCTCATGGCTTGTCCGATCCAGAATACACACTTTTTCAATACTTTACAAATGTGAATATCCACTTTTCAGATGGGTGTGATTGACAGGTGGATTAGCCAATCAGGGGCACACATGGTCTAGAGAATATTAAGAAAAAAAAAATCACTAGGGGCTGTTATGTGGGGTCCAGACTGATCAGACATGCCTAAATATGAAAGGTTTGTGTGTTAAACATACGTGAATAAAACAAAACACAACTGAAGGTCTGTTTGTGATGAGGAAACAACATTATCACATAGATCACATAATAGTATAATATGGGCCCTTTAAATGCTGAAACTCTGATTCCCCATGTTGATTCCTGACTCTGAGGACCTCAGGGACTGGCGTCCTGCTGGTGCCCAGAGTGCAGACGGTTCATATTAGAAGATTATATTCGATTTTTGTTGTTTTAAGATGCTTTGCTGTTTTTTGCTATGTTTTTTATATGTTAAAAAGCTGCAGATGTTATTTGATGTGGTGGTTGAAGTTAAAATCCATTATTACTCATATATTTCCAGCCTGATTTAAAGGTTTCAGAGAGAGAGAGACTGGAGGTGACTGCTGACATTGTCTCTTTGTTTGTGGGCCAAAAACAATGACTTGTGTCTTGTTTGAGTTTAGCTGGAGAAAGTTGTTTTGCCTCCACACACTGATCTGTTGGATGCAGTGGCAGAGTGAGTCCAGTTGTGGTAGGACATTACTGCTGCATTTTAATAGAGGTATGCAGAGAGTGAACAAAAGAGGTCCCAGGATCGACCCCTGGGGCACCCCACAGGTCAAGGCCATGTGATCTGAGTCACAGTTTCCAATTTCAGCTAAATACTTCTTGTCATCCTTCTAACAGAGATGCCCATCCAGTCCTCCAGTCTCGGTCATGATGGACAGTGTCAAAGCAGCACTCAGATCTAACAAGATCAACATTGAGACTTTGCCTGCATCAGTGTTCAGGTGGATGTCATTTGTCACCTTGAGAAGAGCAGTCTCAGTGCTGTGGTGGAGTCTAAAACCTGATGTCAGGAGTCAGGTTTTAGACTGTTGGTAAGCAGCTTTTTCAAGGACTTTGCCTTAAAACAGCAAATTTGAAATGAGTGTCTAATTGTTTACTGCTGTGGCATCAATACTGTTCTTCTTTAGGAACGGCTTAATGACACCAGTTTTTAAACTCTTGAGAATATTCTAGATTGAAGTGAAATTAAACTATATGAGCGAGTGGCGAGAGCAACCTGCTCAATCTCCAGCACTTTAGAAATCTAATGGGTAACACATGGAGGCAGCATGTAGATGAACTCGTGATGATCTCTCAGACAGTTTTGTTACAGGTACAAAGTGACTCAGCTCTTAGTGTCTCTGTGGCTGCAGGATTTGTTTTCTACGTAGTAGAATTGATGGCATTTTTGATGCCCTGAACCTTGTCATGAAAGAAAACTGCAAATTAATTTCACTTAGAAGTGGAAATTAGTTGTAACTGCAGTGGAGCTGGAGGGTTTGTTCATCTGTTCATTCACTAGCTAGGACCACACCAACAACAACATAGTGCGAAGAAGTTTATTGATAATGTACGAAGCGAGGCAGAGATGGCTGGGTTGAGACTCTGGGTGGGGGCTCTGTCTCAATCAGCAATTGGCCCAGCCGGAACGGGACCCCCCTTGTAGGGGTCTTATGACTGAAAGACAAAATAGAGAATGGGAGGGTGGGGTCGAGTTCGCCGACACAAACTGGGGTGATGGGAAAGGCTGCTACATATAGGCTTCTGGGAAATTCGAGGCGTGGTGGAGGTGAGTTGTGGTTCACTGGTGAGAGGAGAGGGCGGCTGAGGCCTGGTCCTGCTCCTGAATCTCACTTAATCATATTAACTACATTTGCTGCAAACAGGATACGTGACAGGAGCTGTTACTGCAGTTTCCACTTATGTCTAAAAAGTACCTCTCTCTTCTACTCATACTGTTGTTTTTCTTTTCTTTGTAAATCTCATGACAAACCTGGACGTTTGATGCCATTTGTGCTCAATCCTCCAGCACTCCTCCTGTGCCCTGACCGAGTCATCATTCCTTCACGGAGTTTTCTGTTTATAGATAGATAGACCTTTATCTTTAACTATTTTAACCTTCATCGTGGCAATGACGTCCAGAACATTCAAATCACAACAAAATCACAGATTTCAACAAATCATCCTCATTAGAACATGAGGCAATTTTCAAGTGTATCATTCCCATGAAGAGTGCATCTGTGTTATCATTTATGTGTCTTCATCTACTTTTAGATTTTTACATCAATTTATCCAAGGCGGGCAGGTGGAAAGTATTGTACCTGCTATAATCTGGTAGCATCTTTCGTTTTGGTCAGTGTTCACTGTACACACTTATATTGTATACCACAAATAATGAAGGCAATGGAACATGTAATGCAGGGGTGTCTAAACTAGCCCAGTTTATCATAGAGAGACATATGTACAGTAAAGGTAATTCATTCTGCCACTATATTCTCTATAATATCAAATTGTAATTTGATTTAGACCTAAAATGAATGTTTCAAGCCTTATTAAAGCTATGGTGACACTGTCAAAACTATGTAAAATGCACCATGTGAATGATCCACTGTGTTGGCCACCAGTCTGTGGCCCTCCACTTCAGATGTTTAAAGATGTGACCCTCGGTGAAAAAGTTTGGACACCTCTGAAAAATGAAATGGTCTAAATCAGTTTTTTTTATATTATTAACATTGTTCAACGCTACACAACACTGCACATTAAGAAACTGAATTAAAATGAGAAAAAAAATCTGTTCTTGTACTTTATTGTTGCAACAATTAAATTTTCACATAGCCAGACAAATAAAGATTTTCTTTTAACTGATCTTTAGCAGTTAAAAATAAAGCATATAATAAATAAAAAGGGATTTTTAAGGATGCATCGTGTAACTTCTCTGGTGAAAGGTCTCCATAGAGATGTTACTGCTTTGCCTTGAATGTTCTACAGCAAGTATGTAGTATGTACTGTCATTTCCAGACTATTGAGTACACCTGAATTTAATTTTAATAACATTTTAAAATTGTACATATATAGGCCACACTTGAATATAAGCCGCAAGTGTCCACATCTTCAAGAACGTTTTCAAGTTGGGCCTGTCTGTTTTTATCTCCTCTGAAAGTTTTTGTCGTCTTTTTGCATTGAGTCAGTTCGTCACGCTGCCATCGTCAAAATCTCACCTCTCAACTCTCACTGATGTTGAGCTCACGTGCTGTAGCTCGATTTCCTTCTTCCAAAGCCAGATCATTTGCCTTTAATTTAAAAGCTGCATCATCTGCATTTCTTCATGTGTTTTCCATAAGGAGGGTGTGTGTATGAAGTCAGGGGTTGACATTAAGCAATTACAAGTACTTGACCGGGCAAGTGGCTATAATTTTCTACTTGCCCGACACCCAGACTTAATTGCCGGGAAAAACAAAATGGTGCTCACTTAATTATATATTTTTAAATATGTGCACAGGCTAGTGTCGTAGTACTCTAGACCATTTTTTAGGGCCTGGCTCAGCACAACATGCTCCTGGGGCAGATCTGTGTCGATTGATTGAATTTATATAGCGCCTTTCAAGATACTCAAAGTGCTTTACAGTTCATTATTCAGTCACTCCACACTCAGTGGTGGTAAGCTACTACTGTAGCCACAGCTGCCCTGGGGCAGACTGACGGAAGCGAGGCTGCCAATCTGAGCCATCGGCCCCTCAGACCACCACCATCACTCACACACACACCTCTTTCATACTAGGCAATGTGGGTGAAGTGTCTTGCCTAAGGACACAATGACAGTTTTTTGCCACTGGCGCCCCACTGTGGCACCTGGAATCATCCAAGTACTACCCAGGCCCAGCCTGCTTAACTTCTGAGATCTGACGGGATCAGGCTTTTACAGGCCGGTATGGCCACAGTGTCCTGTGAAAGAGCCCATGTCCAGAAATACTGTTAATTAGTGCTTTAAAATTTGCTTTTGAAATCCTCGCGTTTGCCCTGGTCAGCCTGTACAGAAGGTGAATACAAGTCTGTTCAGCTGTTAGGGCCTGACTTGACTGCACGTACATTTCGCTCTATGCGAGTGTAAAAACTGCAACTTTTTGACATTTAACTTTTAGAATGCATGGAAAGTGAATGAGGACGGCTTCACTGCAGGTGCTAGACGCACGTATGGAGCAACGCATCCTGCACGCGTAGATTTCAGAAAATAGGATCCATCCTATTTTTTGACACTCTACGCGTATCCCCATCAAAATACACAGAGCATGAATCTTTGGTTGTATTTGTGCCTTTACCGTCAGGACAACGTGCTCCTGGGGCAGATCATGTAAAAGAGCCCAGGTCCAGAAAGACTCTTAATAAGAGCTTTAAAATTTACTTTTTAAAATCGTGGCTTTTGCCATGGTCAGCCTGTACAGAAGGTAAATACAAGTGTGTTCAGCTGTTAGTTTAACTGTAGACCTGATACAAGCGGCTAAACGCGCCCAGTCAAGTTTGATCGTCTTTCTCATTGAGAAACACAGAGCCAGAGCTGTGCGTGTACGGCCTTTGAGTTGACGCACGGCTGTGATTTCGCGAGGTTACGCGAGTTATTGGTCTCGTCTAGGACTCGACCACGTTTGGACTCGGTCTTGAAGGCGTTTGGACTCGGTCTTGTCTCGGACTCGAGGTCTGAGTTTAGACAGGTGCAATCATATTTCATTACGGCCACTGCTCTCGGCAATAAAGTTGTACCGGTGTGCGGGGGCGTGCGGGGTGTCTCGCTGCAGCCTGTGCGTTTGTGTGGAGCGCCCCCAGCGCCCGTGCCTTGTCCGCAACAGCGTGTACCCTCTCGTACCAGAATGTATCACAGGGCAGGATAAACTTTTTAAAACATTCTACCTGCCCATCTGCCTC